AGAACATTGGAATTATCGCCCCTGCCTGCGCATGCGCGCTGATCATGATGCTGAGTAAGCAGCAAATGGCGTTGTCAGGTCGACAGGGAAGAGCTCATGATCTACCGTAGTGACTAGCGGCAAAGAAAGAAACGATCGCTTGATGTCCGTGATTCCACCTCCGGCGAAATGGAGACCTTCAGTGAAAAAAACAGTGCTTGAACTGGTATGGTAGAGATAGCGGTTAAAGAAGAAGAAGAAGAAGATCGCAAGAAGAAGAATAGAAGAGATGAAGAATAATATGATGGCACGAAAAATCGTTAAAATCGCGTATGATCGAATTCTCGCGTGGATGGACGAACGAGGTGCGTCATGAGCTCTTGGGGGATTAATCAAGGTAGATATGGCCCCGCAGACATTGCTGTATGTTTTGAAGTCTAGAAAGTGATTCTCACCGGTTTTTAGTCGTTTGTACGCGGATCACGTGAGATTTCACCCGTGTATCCCTATATAGAGAGCTACGACTCTCTAATAAATGCACTACTAATTAAGGTCGCCCCCACAAAATAGGAATACTCATCTCTACCACTATCGTCAAGTTCATAAAGTGTCTGAAATAGAAATACCTAATGAATATTTCAAAGGTTTCCATGGATGATATACTATTCTACCAGAAATCTCCCCAAGAGGTTCTTCTGGAGGATTGTACAACACAGTCAATATGGCAGACTACATCACTATCCATCGTCCAGTTTCCCCTTCATTTTGCTGTCCGAGCAGTGTATTTCCAGTTGACAGAAACAAATGCTACAACATCGGGCACAGACAAACTGCTCAGACCATGTTATCTGGTATACTCCCAACCTTAGTGACATGAAGTGCAACATGCGGTGTTCTAATCACGTCTGTTGTGGTGATAGAGGATGACTGATGACAGATGTCAGGAAGGATTGTGCTCTATGAAAAGTGTTTACAAAGAGGAGGCTTCAAGGTTTAACAGTGCGTCCGCTGAGGTACTGTAATTGGGAAATGTAAGGCCTGAAGGCACTGCAGATTTACATAGATTTGTCGATGGAGTTAGTTTCACCTTCCGGTTGCAATTCTGATGGCTAAGAGTTGCTGATGATCGTCAGCTGGTCCGTGTTCTCTAAAGAGCTCATCACTAAATGCTGTGAAGGTGCTCGTAGGAACCATCAGTGATGAGACATGACACATTGTGGAAGTCTCTCAAGGAAGCGACTCTGTGCTTCTCTCAGAGTTGCACATTGTCGTGTGAAGGACATCCCAAGATCAGTTCCCAACTTGTGTGGATCAGTGGTTCTTGCGTGTGCACGTGGGTGTGTTGGACACCAGCCACGTAGGACCCGATACTACAGTGTGGCCGGGATTAAAACACACCCTGAAAATGTCCATGGTCTACTCTTACTGAATGGCCTTCAACTCTCCTCCTTCTCAGTAAGACACTGATTTCTATGGTGAGTGGCACAAACCCCCTAAGCGACGACCTTCAATTGTGTATCGCCTTCAAAAGTCACCCGACTCGACCAGTCAGGTTCTATAGGGGTGCTCTAGGGTAAGGTTTCTTAGTCCTGTACCCAGGACTGCAGAATAAGCCAGGCCGTACTACAGGACCAGGACACTCTCTCGCTCTCGACATTACTTCATTCTCAACTTCACTACTGTTAATGTGTAGTTGCACAACCTGAACATGGAAACTGTTGTGCACTTCTGGTTCAATATAGATATCTCCTGCTCGAGTATTGATAGTCTGTGTACAACGCATCTGTAATGTCCACCTGCGAGTGAAAGTTATTGGACAGGTGTAGTTAGCAGTTCGAATCATCATAACTAACTGAGCTCGAGTGGCCATTCTGCAGGGATGGGGTTTGGTAGTGTGGCTGTATTTTCTGGTATGTTATTAGTATATAAAGACGTCTGTGGAGCTGCACAATTGGGTAGTGATACCACCGGTAAAAAATTTTCACTGCTAGAACATACTCAGTAAGAATAATTCCGGCTTCAACCGGCAGCTCTCCATGTACGACATATGAAACAAGGCATGTGCCTATCCCAAAGCTACATGTTGTAGGCAGTATCTCTATGGTCTTCTGGCAACGTGCCTATCATGTCTGAGCTGGAGGACAAGTCACCAGTGCAGAGGTGCACTGGTGGTTGACATCTCCGAACCATGTTGGGTGGTGTCGAAATCAGCTCTCCCAAGTGTAGCCCTGTCACAGGCCTCCCACATTACCTGCACGGTGCATGTGGCCGTGAGCACGCATGGAGACGTGTAGTACCTTCCATGACTCAGAGAGGTGTGCTGTGAAAGAAACAGAACAGCTGGAAGAGGACCTTGTGTCGTCTCCCCATGCTGTCCTCAAAATGTAATGTGCATTGGTAGCACATACCCCACTACCATCACAGCGAAATACAAAAAACAATCCAGGGTTGGACACCTCACCTGGTATGAAGTGAACATCCACACTGACGGCCGTGTCCATACTGAATGCATGTACCACTGATGCCGGTGTTATTGAAAAGATCTGTCGCTGAAATTTCAAGCCTGTATGAGCCTTGAATTAGGTTTAAGCCAGTCCAAAATGCATCAAAGCAATTCACTTCGACTGATGTATGTCCACTAATAAGTGTACATTCATATGTTACAGGCTCATTGCTATCCCATGATATGGAAACATTGGCATTGCTAAAAAACGGACCATCAAGCATTGTGACTCTTGGGGAGTTATGTCACCAGTTGTGAATATCCAGAAGTTTTGATCCGTAAGTGGTTCATTTCCAGGTTCACATCCCTCAAATCCTAGCACTACTCCTCTAGCAAAGCTGATATAGTACTTTGTGTACTTTGTGTATATCATTCTCTTGCTCCAGCGTGGGTAACCATGTTATATTGACATAGAAGACACCAGCTGTTTCATCAGGAAACACACTAGACTTTACCACTCCTGCTGGAGAGACAGTCTGTATCTCGGATATGGTGTCTCCTTCATAGCCACTGCTTGCCACTAGTCTTAGATGTAGTGTATGGCCCGAGGGAACAACAATGCAAGAGTCATCATATGGGGTAGGTGGGACAAAGGTGGGATTCACCGAGCAAGACCTCATTGTGTCTACAACAAGAACGAGAAACTGTAGTGCCACGCTACTCAAAGGAGTGGTGGATCCTGGCTGAAAATCCTCAATCATGAGTGCTGCTGCTCGGAATCCTTGTCCCTGATCAGCGACATAAACCAAGGAGCAAGTTTCGGGAACAAGAATGGCACCTGGAAACCCGTTGCAAATCCCAGCACATTCACCCCCCACAGCCCACCGACACCGCACAATGTCATTATCTGGGTCAGTGACTGGAACTCTGATAGTGTGGTTGCAGCCTTCCTGGATACGGAGAACCGGACTCATTATGGCTCTTGGAGTGGAGTTGATGTCTCCCGTGTCATTTCGTCTTGCAAGTGAAAAGGTGGTAGGAACCCTCCAAGATGAGCTGAATGGTGATATCCAATCACCACCACTAAAAGCTATAGTAATGATATCAGCTCCTTCAAGAAATGTGTATGCTACCACACGCTCACCAAAGCTCCAGTCCTCTTCTACACTAAAATCGGTACATATATACCTCACATCAGATATTGTACCTGAACATCCTTGTTCGCATTGAATATTTCCATCTACACCAATCAGTTGACCAATCAGTTGACCATTCTCTATTGTGGACTGGTCACAATAGGCTAGACTGTTAAAACTACGGCGCCAGGAGATGCGAAAAGTTATCTCCATCTGGATTAACAAAACAGGAACCCGATTCACATGGTGATAAACAATAGTTACCATGCAGTGACTAATAAATTTTGAGCCCTTGTACATTCAGTATAACTCACACAACATTGAGTCACGTTTCTGCCATGCGTGCATAACCCTGCCCCACCCATCTAGCAACAGCATTTGGTGAAAAAACGGTGATTCAACTGGTTTGGGCTGGCTGCTTGGCTATTAATTACTAGTGCATTTTGAAGTCTTAGCAAGTGACTATTATGTGAAACGATAACTGACCCGTGCCATCCCTATAGAACATCTAGCAAGGCTGTGATACACCAAACATGCCACAACCCCTGATGCGATGAGCACGCATTGCTACATACCTGTATGAACTACAGATCCGTAATGAACACAATGGCCCAACTGTAGTACAGACGTTAAAATTTGCACTGCACAATATTTTAAAATGCTCTTGGGACCATGAGTTGAAAGTGGTTAGAGTTTCCTCCAGAGCTTCTGTTTATACTATGTCTCGACTGTGGAAGACTCGAAGTACAACTGCGGTAAAGTTCTCTCGGTCCATGGGGTAATGTGTATTAGTAGCTCTACGGTTCTTTGCAAGAAGCAACTGATGTATGTATTATACCTGAGTGTCCCCAGAGTGAAATATTTTTCGGTTTGGCAAGATGGACATTGAGAGGAAGTATAGGTGTAGGTAAGTGAGCGCTTGCCGGCTACGTCTTCTTGTGCGTACTGGGTAGAATATTATGCACCCCCATGGGCATTTTTCCTCTACTGACTGTATTAGGTATTTGCTGCACCAGAGAAAACCAGAGCCCAAAAGCCCACTCCCAGTATTCCTTCTCGGCAGCAGACTGAGGGCCAACGTAATATACTACAGTTAGCATAATTAATCAATCTGTCATTGAATTGATTGCACTTGTCATCAAATGCACAAAATTCAAAGGCTTTCATCCGGACAATAAGGAGAGGACTCTTAATATTAAGAGATAGCACTACATGAGCTTTGCAGCTGGCTGAATCATGGGTTCGTTCTTACAAAGAGGAAAACGTAGTGTCGAGGTGCAAGGGAATGAATCACTAAAACGTTAAAACTCTGAGGATGTGATATCCTTGGGAGAAAGCTTGGCTGGGAGTGAAGCTTCCCCTTGTTGATGCAACCCTGAATCCTTCTCTGTGTGTACATAGCTAGCTACTCAGGTCTTATGTGCATTAGGATACACAAGCTAGAGTGGCACTATATTATTAACCCTCGGCGCGCATGCGCAGCGAGGGTTACGGTAGTTGTTTCGTAAGTGTGTCAGTCTGTCATTACCCTCGGCGCGCATGCGCAGCGAGGGTACTGTAGTTGGGTCTGTCTGTTAGTCTATATCTCACTCCTCGAACGTCTGTTCGTCCCAGAAACGATACCATCTACCCAACGGGCGACGAAGGTCAGAAAATAAAGGCGGTTTTCTCTGAAAATGCTCCGTTGCAAAGCTAGAGCGCGAAAAAGTCGGATCGGTCCGCGTGCTCTGCGTACTTCGGAGGCACCAGAAGATGCAACGCAGGGCGTGTATCGCCTCTCGCATGCTATCTAGTAGTGTAGTTAGCCCGCGTCAGACTCTGCGTGAGCTGGCAAGAGACCGCGAGTAACAGCTAAAACTAAACCCAGCCCATCAATTAGTGGTACGGCGCATGCGTTTACTTACGCGTGCGCGTCACAGTGCGTCGAGGGTTTGCACTTCAGTGCTTTTCATTCTGTCTGTTACCACGTTTTCTGCCACCGCGCGCACGAAATCAGGTAAATAGCGATATGATCGGATTCAGTGCTACACTGGGTTGATTTTAAAAAAGGCGATTTTCGTAAAACTACTGCGTTCTAAAGTTATGGCGTGAAAACCAAGTGAACAAGCCAATATGGTAATTAGCACAGGCTTACCTCGACTGCGTCCGAGCGCTCTGTGTATCTTGAAGGCACAAGAAGTCACAACGAAGGGCATGTATCGACTCCCGCATGCAATCTACTACTGTAGCTAGCCCGTGCCAGACTCTCCGCGAGCTACTAGCGCGATACAACGAGTAAAGAAAAGAAAAGCCCAGCCCATCAATTAGTGGTACCGCGCATGCGCCGTTCGCCGAGGGTTTGCACTTTAGTGCTTATTATTATTATAGTAAAACCAATATGCTCTTACTACACACATTGAACGTCTACAATTGCATTATAGGCCAAATAGCTATTATATATGAATGTTGTGTACCACCTGTCACTATGACATTAACCTCTCCTTAGCTATACCACCTGGGGATGATATTGCTGCTAGCGGTGTATGGGAGGTGCAATGCATAATAGCAGGAGGAAGGTAAGGGCAATTATAGTTATCATAAACTTGTGCACACAGGCTTCTTTTGCTGGTAGCAGATTAGGCAACTTTTAGTGAGATCTTGGAAGCAAAACATGCTCAGGCAGCTTCATTGGAGTTTGTAAGTCTGTATATAGTGTCAATCACATTTTCTCCAGTACTTGCAATGAAGTACTTAGGAGATAAAGGGGCTATACAGTGTGAGTGGATTTTCCTACAGGGTCATTGAATATTAAAGTTACGGTAGCTACTTATGTTAGCTCAGGCTATAAGTGCCAGGTCTAGACTAATGCTCAAGTTCCTGTAGGAAAGGAAAATTCCACGCTCATGTAAATACCATATAGCTAACTACCACGTTTTGATAAAATAACTTTGAAGTCAGTGCAAAAAGGAAATGTGTAGGAGCAGGTTGTGTCTTTATTGGAATTTCAACAAGATTATTAAATTACTGCAGTTGCAAATTCCTTCGCTTCTGTAATAACAACACGTACCTCATTTTCTCCTCCGCTGGGACTCGGTCGGACCATGAATATAGCTCCGCGAAAATGGCTTCCCAGTGCAGCTGAAACATAAAGCAATAGAAGCAGGGAGCAATCATTGCCATCAATACCAAAGGTTAGAGAAGAAAAATAATCTGTGCCTGCTAGAGATGGAGTTTTCATTACGCCACCGCAGCACGCACCTCAACTGAGAGAGCCTGTTTTGGAATTCCTCGACAAGGGAGGACGTCGCATTGCATGGACAAAATAGTTTAGCTGCAGTGTCTGATAGATGTGCATTAATAACACTCAAATGTAAGGCAGAATAGAAGATGTGTGCATGTGTGTGTTTCATGAAGACCACTAATCCTTGTGCATACACTATTTCTTTTTGTGTATGTGTTTTAGTTTGTGCAAAGTGTATGGAAAATGACTCCAAAAGTAGGTCACACGTGCTAAACACTGGTAAATAATAGCGCTGTTTGTGGGGAACAGGTCTCTCCGGGGTAGATGGCACAAGTAAGGTGGGTCTTAGAAGATAAGCGCCCATAATAAGAAGATAAGCGGTCATAATGGCCTAGTCCGTGTAACAGTAGTAGCACTGGTAGGTAGCTGGAGTAACAAACAGTAGCAGTAGTAGCGCTGGTAGCAAGGTAGCTGGGGTAGCACTAGTAGCACTGGTAGCAGAGGTAGCTAGGGAGCGCTGGTAGCTGAGGGAGCACTAGTAGTAGAGGTAGCTGAGGGAGCACTAGTAGCACTGGTAGCAGAGGGAGCACTGGTAGCTGAGGGAGCACTGGTAACACTAGTAGCAGAGGGAGCACTGGTAACACTGGTAGCTGAGGGAGCACTAGTAGCACTGGTAGCTGAGGGAGCACTGGTAGCGGAGGTATCTAAGGGAGCATGCACTAGTAGCAGAGGTAGCCGAGGGAGCACTGGTAGCAGAGGTAGCTAAGGGAACACTGGTAGCAGAGGTAGCTAAGGGAGCACTGGTAGCGGAGGTATCTAAGGGAGCATGCACTAGTAGCAGAGGTAGCCGAGGGAGCACTAGTAGCAGAGGGAGCACTGGTAGCAGAGGTAGCCGAGGGAGCACTGGTAGCAGAGGTAGCTAAGGGAGCACTGGTAGCGGAGGTATCTAAGGGAGCATGCACTAGTAGCAGAGGTAGCCGAGGGACCACTAGTAGCAGAGGGAGCACTGGTAGCAGATGGAGCACTAGTAGCAGAGGGGGCACTGGTAGCAGAGGTAGCTAGGGAGCGCTGGTAGCTGAGGGAGCACTAGTAGTAGAGGTAGCTGAGGGAGCACTAGTAGCAGAGGTAGCTAAGGGAGGGCTGGGAGCACTAGTAGCAGATGTCGAAGGTCAAGCATGCTCATCTAAAAGGTGCAAGTGTTTCAGAATGAATAAGAAGTGTCAATATTCATGTTCCCTCAGCTACCAGTGCTCCCTCTGCCACTAGTGTTACCAGTGCTCCCTCAGCTACCAGTGTTACCAGTGCTCCCTCTGCTACCAGTGCTCCCTCAGCTACCAGTGTTACAGCGCTCCTTCAGCTACCAGTTACCAGTGCTCCCTCTGCACCAGGTTACCAGTGCTCCCTTTCTCATGCTCCCCAGTACCGTGTTACCAGGCCTCTGCTCTAGTGTTACCAGTGCTCCCTCGCTACCATGTTACCATGCTCAGCTACCAGTGCTCCCTCTGCTACAGAGTTTACCAGTGCTCCTCTGCGTAGTGTTCAGTACTCTCTGCTACTAGTGCTCCCTCTGCTACCAGTGCTCCCTCTGACTACCAGTGCTCCTTAGCTACCTCTGCTATAGTGCTCCCTCTCTACATGTCCTCACTACCAGTGCTCCTCTGCTACCAGTGCTCCCTTAGCTACCTCTGCTACTAGTGCTCCTCAGCTACCAGTGCTCCCTCTGCTACCAGTGGCCTTTAGCACCTCTCTCTAGTGCTCCTCTGCTACCATGCTACCGCTACCAGTGACTACTAGTGCTCCTCTGCTACCAGTGCTCCATCAGCTACCTCTGCTACTAGTGCTCCCTCTGCTACAGTGCCCCATCAGCTACCAGTGTTACTAGTGCTCCCTCAGCTCCTTGTTACTAGTGCTCCCTGTGCTACTGGCTGCTACCTACAGGTGCCTCAATTCGCATTAGGACGAGTGGGCTTATGGGCGCTTAAGACTGATTGGATCCACTTACTTACTTGTGCCATCTACCCGGCCGGCCCGATCGCCGCGGACTCGCGCACGCGCATTTACAGGGGGCGCATCAAATAAGATGCGATTGGTGATGGCAGGAGTTTGCTGCATGCACTCGAGATTGATTCACAGAGCAGCTCTAGGTGGAGTAAATGATGGGAGAAATGTTGCTATAACGTATACATGTAATGGTTTTAGGAGGTGTATTGTATAGAAGATGGCTTTCATCTGGAAAGGACTCCCTAAGCACAGCCAGCAAGGAGAGATTTCCAACCGCTACACACGTAACCGTCAATGATGCTGTCTGCCATACACCAAAGGAGGCAATACTAACCTTCTGAACTTTCTCAACAAGTCAGACATTCAAAAGAGACGTCGCAGCATGTGAAATTCCCTGCTTCACAGCCAGGAGCTACCTGGCCGTGACACGAGCCGATCCACACTCCCCTATTGGCACCTCAAAGTTTGTCGGTATCTGTATCGCCCGTCGCAACAAGGGTCTGGGCTCCACTTTTATCCTCCGCAATGTTCTGAATGGAATGGGTGTTGAGATGATGTATGAGCTCTACTCCCCGGCCATCAGAGAGATACAGGTCCTGAAGCTGGAGAGGAGGCGGCGGGCCAAACTCTACTACCTCCGAGACAAGCCCTGCCAAAGTACTCCACCGTGAGCGAGAAGATGCAGCCAGTGCCAAACGATGGAGTGCCCTCTGTGTACAAGAGAAAGAAAGGAGAACCTGCTTAGTTGACTAATGAGTATGAAGTGAATTAAGTTCCAGGCCACTGCACATGATCAGAGCTAGGCTGGTAACACTTTCATACTTTTTCTCTGCTTATGTATATATATATATATATAGCTCTTCTTCTGCTAGTTTAGCTCTAGAAATTTGTGTCTTGGCACTTCAAATGAGCGCCATAGCACCAGCCGGCACACGTGTTATGTATATGGAATGCGAGTACAGTAAATGCATATGCAATGTAAATGCACCCCCTCCATTTGAAAACACACCCTACTTGGAATGTGTCACTTTTGTCAGTAATCACTTTGTGCTGGAAATTATGCTTGGATAACCACCTCTGCCTATGGCGCATGGGAGTGGCTGTTACGTAAAGTGGGGCCTTGGGAATGGTTGAGCAATTCAAGACATTGGAGTCGAACAACCGGGGACATGAGCTATTAGCCATGAATTTCGCTTGATTAGCTAGCTATAGATACTGTACCCAGGAAAGCGCTAACAAACCTCTGGTTTCATAGATGTCGCTATGACTACATTCAGTGCGAACTAATAACTCCGGCATATGCCTAGCTATGGATGCTGGTCGAAATTGCGCCATTACATAGCTAGGCCAATTTTTTCATGCAACGTCATTGAGGAATCGTCGCGTGTAATGCTCGCAGGATGAGGCAGCGTCTCGCTTCAGAAACAGCTAAGCCCTAGCCTTGAAAGTCACATCTTCTAGCGAGTTTGCGCGGAAGAGCTGGTCGGAGCATAATTATAATTATATAGTTAACCATATCATCTGCTATTTTCCCCGACTAAATCTCGGCGCGTCCCCAAAACCGGACAAGCATGACAAAGACGCCTCAAGGACAGAGAGCAATACAGCTACTGCACTGCTGTCATGTGAGCATGCGACTCTAATGGCCAAGAGCCGCGACGCATGCGTGTCCGCTTCGGGGTTCGGGGGCGGTCTTCCGGGGCTCTCTGACTACGGTGCGCTGTGACAGGGGAGAATAGGCAAGCAGGCTGCAAGCATGTGGATCCTCAGATCACCGGAGGAGTGGCTGTGCATTGCTTCCTGGTAGCCGGGGAAGTCATGCTTTCCACGTACCGATTCCTACGTAATGTAGCAAAAGTTCAGTGCATGAACCTCATTGTTTACAAACTTGGCTATGAATCAACCATAGGATGAGGGTAATGGGTCAAACGCGTGAGATTGCGCATGATGACGTCTAGCTAGCACCCTCTTTGGTATAAAAAGGAACACAGTCAGCGAGACCGCACCGTAACATAGTCTTTACAGTGAACTAGCTTTTGCAATGGCATCGCTCCAGAAACTGGTCAGATTGGTAGGTCCCCGGCCTCTGGTGAGGATGGCGGCACCTAGCCGCGGCTCCCACGCGGACCTGCGCAGCAACGCCGTGTATTTTCGCGGCATACTACGGGAAGACAGAGCGACGCTCTTCGCCTTTCTGGCTTTCCTCGGAATAGCCAGTTCCACTGCATACCTGGTGTGTTAGTAAATAATAAAGTGTGTTAGTATCGATATTCCCTTTACTCATTATCTAGGTTTACGACACGCAAGTCAACCATAGTGAAGGGATTGGAGGATACTCCAAAATATGACTTCGTACTTTCAGCACTTCAACTTCGACTGTTTTTTTAATTTTATTCATGTTCTCCGTTCCTCTTGTCGTAGTAATACATTGCATACTTCTGTTGTACTGATTGTGCTGTGTTCCTGTCATTTGTGTTTGTAACTTGACATAGTGTCCTGTAATATTGCATTATTGTTGGCTGAGTTGCCAGACCATTGACTCTGCTGTATGATGGTAGTTGAGTGTAGCTACTCATGCATGCTGAACATTTTACACAATCAACAGGTAATCCATACAGCTAGTTTACCACATTGGTGGCCCCTATATACCTATAGCAAATAGCCTAGTGTGGGAGGTGTCAGCTGGGGAGATCTTAATGTATGCTGGTATGCAATCGGAGGAGGAACTGGCACAAATTGCTTTGAGGACAAGGAGTCCAACCATGAATCATATTCCTATAGTTACGTGTAGCTATATAATATTATAATCTTCTTGCAATTGGCAGCTAGTGCTTGTCAAATGTCAACCAATTGGGGGGCTCAGGGCTGCAATTTATGGTTAGACACTTCTAGGCTAAAGACCACAGCACACAGCATTAAGACAGACAGCAGCTGCCGTTAGCTATATATCTGTATGCAAATGTTCATGTCCTATATAACGGTCCCGCCCATTGCTCTGGGCGTGTGGTCGATGGCCAAAGCGCTATGGCTACCACCTTAGTATCACAATATATATTTTGAACTATATTATAGCTATACCTGCTTATGCATAGCTAGTAAAGATGACCGATTTGTCACAAACAGCAAACAACACATATCTGCAGAACACAAACATTAGTCTGGAATAGAGACACGTGTCATGGGCAGTACTGCCAGGAAGTCTGGACCCAAATCACTAAGCTGAAAGTTGGGGGAGAGGTATTCCAAACAGTGCACACTCCCGGGGTCGTGTGTAGAGGCATATCCATCACCTCTGAACATCTCCAGGAGCCTCAGCTCACAGTAGAGAAAGAGTCTAACTTGCAGTGCAGTTCGAGGCTGCGGGAGACTGCAGTAAAATTCGTAGCTATAGTAAGGCGGCTTGTCAGGGAAAGTCCCCTGTTCATTTCTCCTGCACTCCAAGAACTCGAAACCTGCTTGTTTTTCAAACTCCCTGAAATGTGTGTTTTTGAGTGTCTCGAGATGCTCAAGAAGGCCGTGGTGGGCATGGGGATAGAGAGAGCTCACAATGTGTGTTACTCCATCCCATGTGGCTGGCAATATGAGGTCCTCCTGCTTCTTTGAGGGCTTGAAGAGTATCAGCCAGTAAGGGTTGTTCTTCTCTACCAACTACTGGACAGTTGAAAGAAGAACAAAAAGAACGATGTAAGACAGAAGATATTGTATGTTAATCAGGAAACAGAGAATGTTGACAGGTTGCATAAACTTTATACTTCCTACAACCTCTCCCCTTCCTTCGAACCCGCTGTAAGGCTTGCAATTCAGTCATTAGGTTTCAATGCTGTAAGCCAACTCTGAACCTTTAAGGAGTGGCTAATAAGCAACAATCATGCATCACATATCATGTAGGAAGTCCAAAGAAACCTGTAGTATGTAGAGTAAGGGGGCCAACCTCAAGTTTGATGTATTCCTTTGTGAACCCGAGGCTTCTAATAGCTTGATAACTCTCTAGCTTTAGGATAACAGAGGTTATAGCATCAGGCCCGAACAGGAAGGCCGTCTTTCTACCAGGAGTACTGGTCAGCTGGGTGGGCGGGGAGTCTCGGCTCTCTGAAGAGCATATGCGCCCGTACACCGTGTCTACCACCATATCATGGGCACACAGTCTCTGTGTAGGCGACAAAACGTCCGTGTGAAGCTCTCTCGCCCGCTTCACTACTGCAGGAAAGTCCATGACATCAACTCGCGCTGTACGAGAGCCACACCCACAATAGGCACCAACTTAGCTGTGACCTTTGACCGGGTTTGTTTACTCTTCCAGCAGCAATGAGTGAAAAAAGTACATCTTCAAGTGAGGGCGATTTACACCGTATTATCAGCGATTATGATATAGAAGTCGTTGCTCGGGATCACCTGGCACTCTGGGAAGGCCTCCCTCTATTGAACCCAGCCGAAGAAGTGGTCATACGTAAGAATTCACCTTCAGACTACCTCGACCAAAAACGGAAATTTTTGTTCAAGTGGAAAGAGAATCAGGGAGACAAAGCCACCTATCGAGAGCTGAGCAATGCGGCGACCACCATTGGAAACAAAGCCTTGGTAGATGTCTTAGAAGATTTGGGTCACCGTAGCCAAGGTAAAGTGTGCGTGAGTGCTAGAGTACATGGAGTATGATGTTGTGCAGATACTCTGATAAGAGGAAAACCGCTGGGTGGTGGAAAGTATACCTACTGTAGCTCATCCCTGATTACGAAATCCCTACAAATAATCTCTAAAGTTAAGAAAAAATGAGGTCCTTGAGCATGGTGTCCCAGTTTGCGGTCTCAGTGTTTTCATGGGGGTGTGGCACTGATTACGTAATGTGTTTTGGTTGGTGGCACAGGTGTAGTCTCGTGTCCAGACCCTCACGTGCTGCCGTGCAAAAGAGTGTCTGGTTTCTGGTTTTGCATGTTCGAAAAATTGGTAACCCAATCACATTGCTAGGTTTTAAAATACATCATGTGACGTAAGAGTACCGGGCTCTTTTGGCACGCATGCTTATCTATGTACCAGACCCTCCTTCGCGCGGGAGGGACTGGGAACGATGGTATGTATATAGCACTGACGGTGAGCAGAAGACTTCGAGAGCAAGCGAAGGCTAGATATGTAGAGAAAATAAATGGTTGGTGGATATGCTCTTATGTTTCGTTGGAGTCCAGTCTCTCCTCTTGTTTGCCAGCATTCATCGCCGCTGAAACCGGTTAAACTTAGTGTCACCACCTTTAACGAAGTGGTTTGTGAAGTCATACGCACAGCAACTCACTGGCAGCTACAGAAATTCTCCGTTAGATAGTGGATAGATGACCTGCTGCTACCGTATGCTCTTTTGCCAACCACCACCGTGCGATTTCACATAATCGAGTGTCAGGCCCCCGTGAAATAATAATAGTGTCGCGGGACCAGATGTTTCGGGGGAAGACAACCTCTGGTCACTGTACTACCAGGTTTCAGGAAAGCATTTTGTGTAAGTGCTTCCAGCACAGCAAATTTGCACAGCCAAAGTGGGTGTTACTACAAGCCCAATACGTTGTTACCTGGGTAACATGTACAAAGTCTCCTTAGTAACTAAAGTACAATGGATAATTTTGCGAAAGTTGTGTTGTGTAAGCGCTTGACAGTATATATTTATACAGCGCAGCAAATTTGTGCACTAAATGGGTATTACTTTATATACCTCATAATGCTTTTGTTGCCAGTTTGGTACATGTTACCCTGGCAACTAGACATTATGAGGTATAATTTTATTGGGCTTGTACTTAGCAACCAACAGCTAAGGGCTGAGTCACTCCCTAATCAACACCCACTTTGCCATACTGATGCTGTACAAAGTTGCAGTTGCTGTACAAATTTGCTGTGCTGTATGCTTTCCGGCATAATTAACCCTCTGCGCACATGCACAGCGTGGGTTACGGTAGTTAGGTCTGTGTGTCTGCCTGTCTGTTACTCTACATCTCACTTCTCGAGTGTTCGTTTGTCTCACAAAGGATACCACCTACTTAACGCGCAATGAAGGTCAGAAAGTTAGAACGCTTTTCTCTGAAAATGCTCCATTGCAAAGCTAGAGCGCTTCTACCATTGTACGGCAAATGCGTAGTCTGCCATTTTTATCGCTGCTGAAAATGCGCATGCGCTTATATTTTCAACTGGCTTTAACCTCGACCGGGTCCGCTTGCTCTGTGTATCTTGAAGGCACAAGAAGTCACAACGAAGGGCATGTATCGACTCTCACATGCTATGTACTACTATAGCTAGCCCGTGTCAGACTCTCTGCGAGCTACTAGCGGGAGACCATGAGTAAACGCACACTAATAGGCCCAGCCCATCAATTAGCGGTACCACGCTTGCCCAGTTCACCGAGGGTTTGCACTTTAGTGCTTTTCATTATCCCATTATGCTGTAGAGTTACTACAGACACATGTAACCAAGTAGGTTTGATGATGGCAAGTATGCGCTGCCAATACGTAACATGTACCAAAGATACAGAAGACACTTTGCAGCCACAGCAGTATAACACAATGTCTACCTGAATGTCCCCGTCTCATGTAGGTGATTTAACTACACCACCATCCAAACGGCCATGCTACCCTTCTTTACCGCCAGTCCTCCTGCGCTATGCCGAGTATCTCAGGAGTGTGTATGCCAATGCTCCTCCTACCTATCCCGATAAACTATCTCCCGAGGTGAACACGCCTTATATCAAGCTTGCTCTTGTAAAAGGCACTAAAGTAAGCAACCTCCAAGATGCTAATGAATTAACACGTCTTACGCTTGAAGGTGACCTTGATCTGATATTTCAACATAAGGAAGAAATCTCAATGGATAAGGTGTTTACGCTGGGCAATGATTCAAAATTACGTCTCGTGATAGTAGAAGGGGCACCTGGTATTGGTAAGAGCACGTTTGTGTTGGAGCTCTGTAGACAGTGGCCTAAAATGCTCTCACTCCAGCCCTTTTCCCTCGTGGTTCTTCTAAAGCTACGAGATGAGGAAATAAGGTTAGCTGAAGGAGTAGGGGACCTCCTTCCTTGGGAGGACCATCGTACTGATCATGCCACTCTGGTCGAAGAGGTTATGAAGAGACACGGGAAGGGTGTTCTGTTTTTGTTTGATGGCTTTGATGAATTCCCAGCTCATCTCCGACAGTCTCCTAGCGCTTCATATGTTATGAAGGTGCTGACTGGAAAAGCTCTTCCACGTGCCACCGTTCTAGTCACAAGTCGGCCTTCAGCTAGAATACATCTCCAACCACTAATGCTGTCGGATAGCATCAAACTGATCGAGGTTGTTGGTTTTGGCGAGGAACAAATACAGCAGTTTGCTGCCAATGTCTTTGGTCCAGAGTCAGAGACCCTTGCCAGTTTCAATGACTACTTGAATGTCAACCCAGTCATCAGGAGTATGATGTACAATCCCTTGAACTGCTCCATTATAACTGAAGTTTATAGTGAAACGTCGAGATCAAAAAAGCCTGTTCCCCACACACAGACCCAGCTCTACACTGAGATGGCCCTTTGGCGTCTGTCGAGGTACATCTTGGTGTCGGGGACCAATTAGCCACTGCTCTACCTGCTACCCTTAGCGATATTCGATATTACGATAGCCCTCTCTTTAAGCAGCTGGTTGAAATAGGAAAGTTAGCGTATCAAGGTAAACAAAAGGGTACCATTATTTTTGAGAGGATTCCAGAAAACTGCAGTGACCTAGGTCTACTCATTGAACACCAAGCACTCTACAGGCGAAAGAAAAGCACCACATACAACTTTTTTCATTTGACAATGCAAGAGTACATGAGTGCCTTTTACATAGCTCAGCTTCCAGCCACTGACCAGAAGATGCTCTTTAAACAGTTCGAATCAATGGCTGTTGTGTGGAGGTTTGTGGCAGGTCTGACTAAAATGGAGGACATAGGATGGGACATGGCTTATGCTAAAAGAGTAACACCATTCTTCCGTCAGTGTGTATATGAGGCACAAGATACAGACAGAGTAAAAGCTCTTTTTTCTTCACTCGATATTCACTTCAACCCACCAGAAAGTGTAACAAACTATGATGCTTTTGTTCTTAGCTACTGCATATCAGGATTTAGTAACACGTGGAATTTGCATGTTCGTGGTATGCATGATGAAGATCTTAAAATGATGTGTCATGGGATGAACTCAGTTCAATATGAGGTGGGACTATTGAGTGTTTAGGCTTCGTCACTTGTCCTGGAATTCTCAATAACAAAAACTACTTACTTACCTTGCCACGTGATATCCTAAGGAACATAAAAACCTTGATCGTTTGCAATTGTGAGATTGACCAAAATGGATTACGTAACTTAGCCGAGTGTATTCCACACACACTTTCTCTAACAACACTTGGCCTCGTGTGTAACCCTGGAGGCATACCAAAACTGATGGAAGCCTTGAGGGAACATAGAGAACCTCTTTCATTAGATTTGGGAGACATAACCTTGGAGAAATCTGATGTGACGGCACTCTTAGATCTACTACAGATAAAAACAAGCTGTGTAAAAACACTGACCTTAGATATGATGGACATTACCTCGTCTACTCATGGTGCATGCAGATTATTGCAGAACATACTCGCTTTGTCATTATCGTTGGAAACCCTCCACTTGTACAGTTTCCCCGTGGAAGCATTCCTAGCTCTATGTGCCATTAATGAGAATATTAGAGACTTGAACATTTCCCTGTCGGATACTGATGTAACCACTGCTAGAGCCCATGGCATCAAAAAACTTTGCCAGTTCATCAGCGAGAACAAATCCCTGCAGCAGTTGACTCTTTGTGAGGTACTACTTCATGGGGTACTGTACAAAGAACTTTCGGCTATATCGCAATCAATGCAACAGAATCACACTCTTAGGAAGGTAACATTGGTAACACTGGTAACAGATATCAGATTGATGACGGGCTCTCCCTAGATCCCCGTATTACAGTTAGAGGTATTATTTAATGGGTATTAGCCTTGGGTAAGTGAGTCGGAAACTGATGATGAAGACAACTCACTTGACGATGATTATTCGGAATATTATACAATAGCAAATCAGAATCAACGAATACAAGAAACACAATTTTACCATCAGGTGTCACATCCAATAAGTTGGAGCCATTTCATCCCCCTGCTCCCAGCCACCGACTTTATCATAAAGTTTTGTTGAACCATTGTCAGCATTTTTGTAAACCTGTTCTCAATCCTGTGTTTGCTGTATGACTAAGAGTATAGTTTATACCAATGTGAGTTTTTGCTATACCTGATGCTCATCCCTGGTGTAACTAAGAATTTTTAAGTCACAAAAAGGCTCACTGAAAAGTGAACGGTCAGAATGTGGTCGAGATGAGCATACTTTCTCTTCATGCCATATTACGAAGCTTTACCTAGTATGTGTGTAGCTGAATTGCTTTGCCTTGCCTTTCTACCTTGTTACCTCGTTGACACACGTGTGCGATGTTGTTGACACGTGTACATGCATGTGCACAGTGGCATAAATGTGTACGTAACAGACAGAGCATTGAGGGTTAATTCAACACACATAAACACATTGCAGCAGACACACATTTTGTAAACCTGTTCTCAATCCTGTGTTTGCTATATGACTAAGAGTATAGTTTGGACCTAATTGTGGGAGTTTGCTATACCTGATGCTCATCCCTGGTGTAACTTTTGATGTCACAAGAAGGCTCACTGAGCAGTGAGCAGTGAACAGTCGGAACGTGATCGAGATGACTTTCTCTTCATGCCATATTACGAAGCTTTACCTAGTAAGTATGTGTGTAGCTGAATTGCTTTGCCTTGCCTTTCTACCTTGTTACCTCGTTGACACACATGTACATGTTGTTGACACATGTGTACACATGTGCATAGTGCCACAAATGGTACATAACAGACCATTGAGGGTTAATACTCTACGTTCAAAACACACTAAACACATTACACTACACACAAATCTAGTGTATGCAACAAAATGAGTGTCATATCAGTTACTATATATAGGAGGAGTGTAATAATAACAATTGTCTATTCTGAGGTGAAAAAACCTATTCATTCATATTGCCGGGTGACACGGTCTCCACATAATTGCCAGGGAACAACCCGTTGACTCCGTTCGTTACTCCCTCGTACCACCCGTCGTCATTCTTCTTCACGATGTAGATGATTTCTCCCGTGACAAAGGTCAACTCGTCGTCTCTGTCTTTGGTGTAGTCATAGATGGCCTTCACTGTAGGGCAAAGATAGCACTACGTGTATCTAACACCTTGAATTGAATACCGTAGTAGGTACACTAGTGCATCCAAGTGACCACACCGATTTCTGCATGTGTTTGCTACTGTCTCTGTCTATTCATACCAGCACAAGCTACATACTGTACATGTGTAATTGTAGTAAACTTGTAGTTCACAAAAATCACTTTTTAAGGCCACGAAAGAGCACATGACTACAGTAACAGCACCAATGATTAGGTTGGCTACATCTGAAATAGGACATACATGAAGAAAGTGGGTTTTGTTAGGCTCAATTCGCTACGTGTACAGTACCGCTATTAGTCAATTTCAGCCTATTTCTAATAGCTGCCCACCTTTCTCGAGGTATTTCTTGGGGGCCCAGTCAGGTTCAGAGGGAGGGGGAGGGGGAGGGAGGTCCACTGGGGCCTTGGACCCCTTCCGGCTGCTCAGTCGTGCCTTCAAGATGTCCTCCGGGTTGAAGGGGGCGGGGCCAGGTGGCTCCCTGGATTTTGGTTTTGGAGCAGTGGGTTGGGTGGCTGGGGGTGTGGTCTTTCTGGACCTGCACAATACATGTAGTTCATTAAGGGGCAGAGGTAAAATCATCAAGACATAGAGCATGCTTGATTCCTCCGGCTAAATAATAGTGAAATGTAATTGTAATTGCACCTACCCTGGGTTAATAGTCACTTACACAAAAGATGCAAGTGAATTGTAGTGAATGCTACATAATACCTATAGTTAGACGTCAGTGAAATCTACCCGCATAGAAGCCCTTGCATTGTGCCGTTCCGATGTACGTAAAGGGCCCGAGGGCTGTATATTTAACGGATGAGCTGCCCGAGAGCGAATTCTAATTGACGCACACCCAATTTCCCGTGTGCACGGGTTGCGTGGGGTAACAGCACCACAGGCACTTAGAAACGTGAATTCTGGATTTAGAAAACATTCAGTGTGAGTGAGCTCCAAAACCTTACGTACATCATAGTGTGTACATACCTGTTCCTCCAAGTGGAGGGGGAGGGGGAGGTGGTGGAGGAGCACCACCTAGGCCACCTAGAGAGGATTGCATCATTATGACATCACTGAGGTCACTAAATGACTCACCAGGGGGAGGAGGAGGGGGTGTGGCAGGTACCCCTCCACTGGTGGAGCTATCTCTCTTGAAACTGTCTCGTCTCGGTTTCTGGGCCACGATGGGTGAGGGTCGGGCCTTGCTCCAGTTAGGACCCCCAATTACAGGGGCAGGGGCAGGTGGAGTGGCACTGTCTCGGGGTGAGGAGGGACCTGCACATTGTCATGCAACACTCATTCACACACCAATGTTGTATTGTATAGAGATTTTATACACTTTTGTTGCATGTCAATGTTGCATGTCACAAAGTCAAACAAATCAACTACACTCAGGAAAACATGCTCAGACAGTGCACACTACACAGGAGATGGAAGTCAACTTACTTCCAGGTGTAGGTGAGTCTTTAGGCAGAGTAGAGGCCCCACGGCGACCAGAGGTCTTCTTGAGTTTCACTGACGAAGGGTCAAATCCAAACGGCCCGAAGCCTCCACCTCCTCCTGACGACAGCTGGGGCTGCACCTTTGGCTTCGGCTTGTCCTCCGGTTTGGGGGAGACTGTGGACCTATCAAACTTCTTGGTTCCCCCCATTGGGGGAGGAGGTGGAGGAGGAGGAGGAGCTGGGGAGACAGACAAAGACAGTTGGTATGGCTGACATCACTTACACCTGTAAAGGTTTGTACACAGAATATGGCCTTAAACTTTTGCACTCCTTATACATTCAAACCTCGGTAACTCTCTGCTAGCTGGACAATGTGTGTCTATAGCCAGGAGCACATGTGGTGTGGACCACACAAAGCACACAGCTGAAAGGCCATTGTTACACTACAGTAGGCAACCTTCGTGTACAGTGTAATTATACAAGTGGTACTCCAGATCCATACAGGATAACCTACTGTGTAAGTACGTACGTACCAGGTCCCCCTCCAGCAGGGGGAGGAGGAGGGGCTCCAGAGGGAGGGGGCGGGGCCAGGGGACCAGGAGGTGGAGGACCACCTGGAGCTGTATATGTAGATTAGATTAATATTGCGGACTGCCACATTGTTGTAGCCCCATAAGACAACAATTACTGTTATATGAATGCCACGGATTTTTGCCGACTGAGCGTGAGCAGTTCTCGTATTTCCTTGACCATACTTGGTTCTTACACCCGTAGCCTTGTGAATGGTCATGGAGTATGTTCTATTCCTTGCACTGCTTGGGTCTTGCATGTATATACAGAGCCTAACTGCCTTCCACAACATACTTGTATGTAGACTGTAGTATGTAATCAGGTTGTACATGTACACACAACAGACATTCCCATGAGTATTGCAGACATTCTGGTACGTTACCCCAGCAACGGAGTGGTATGGAACATAAGTTATCTGCCTATAACACACTATCCACATTCATTTGTGCATGGATTACGCAACAGCAATAGATCTCCTTCCACACACCAATGTATTGGCAACTATAGAGTATGTAAACAACAGACCAGGAGGAAGAGGTGGAGGAAGAGCGTTGCTCATGGAGGGGGGAGGAGGAGGTGGAGGAAGCCTTCGGCATTAGGGGAGGTGGTGGAGACCCGGCCTGTATAGTACGCATGTAGCCAGATACAAACACAGAGTAAAAGTTGCACACACCACTGGGTATAGTTCACTGTTTGGTGCCTTTGGTAGCCTGCACTACAGAAGCCTTTTAACAGAGGTAGTGGAATTTCAACTTTATACTGACTTTCCTAGTATGTAAAAAATTTATGCACACATCAGACCACACACAGTGCTACTCAGCCGTGGGTTCACTACAACACAGTGACTGTGAGAAGAGTTTATATGACTCAGGTGAGATGAAAATGTTGATTGGGAGGGTAGGGCTCCTATAACTATTACATGTACATACAAATGTACACTGTTCAACATTCTGTGTGTTTAGGACACAGTAAAGATCAGAACACTAGAGGGAATATTATTGCACAGTACATACATACTATATTAGGAAGAGTAAAACACACAACACAGACAGCCCTAGAAAAGGATGTGTATATACAAACCCAACACATCAACTGGAGCCTACTGTTCAGGGTTACACACCTGAGAGATATGGCTGACGTTAGCCTCCATCTCGCCCAGGTGCTGCATCTGTTTGTCCAGGAGCTCCAGCATACCCGTGGCCAGCATGTTCACCTGGTAGTACTTCTTCGTGTCCTCCAGTGCCTGAGTACTCTGCCCCGTCTTGATGCAGTTCCTCTCGCAGTAGTCGGCCAACTCGTTTATGCTCTGGGTGTGTACTACGGCAACCACACTTGGTAATAATAATATATAACCCTAGCCGTTTGAAGTACCTGCTTATGCATAGCTAGTAAAGATGACCGATTAGTCACAAACAGCAAACAACACATATCTTCAGACTTCAGAACACAACATCAGTCTGGAATAGAGACACGTGTCATGGGCAGTACTGCCAGGAAGTCTGGACCCAAATCACTAAGCTGAAAGTTGGGGGAGAGGTATTCCAAACAGTGCACACTCCCGGGGTCGTGTGTAGAGGCATATCCATCACCTCTGAACATCTCCAGGAGCCTCAGCTCACAGTAGAGAAAGAGTCTAACTTGCAGTGCAGTTCGAGGCTGCAGGAGACTGCAGTAAAATTCTTGTGAGGGAAAGTCCCCTGTTCATTTCTCCTGCACTCCAAGAACTTGAAACCTGCTTGTTTTTCAAACTTCCTGAAAGCTGTGTTTTTTTGTGTCTCGAGATACTCAAGAAGGTTGTGGTGGGCATGGGGATAGAGAGAGCTCACAATGTGTGTTACTCCATCCCATGTGGCTGGCAATATGAGGTCCTCCTGCTCCTTTGAGGGCTTGAAGAGTATCAGCCAGTAAGGGCTGTTCTTCTCTACCAACTACTGGACAGTTGAAAGAAGAACAAAAAGTACGATGTAAGACAGATATTTTATGTTAATCAGGAACAGAAAATGTTGACAGGTTGCATAAACGTTATACTTTAAGGCTTACAATTCAGTCATTAGGTTTCAACTGTAAGCCAATCTATGAACCATTAACGAGTGGCTAATAAGCAACAGTAATGCAATACATATCATTCAAACGGCTTAGAGGTAAGAAGTTCAAGGGAATGATTGAAACCAGGAGACCTAGTATGCCAGCAGAGTAAGACTCGGCAAGTGGGCCAACCTCATGTTTGATGTATTCCTTTGTGAACCCGAGGCTTCTAATAGCTTGATAACTCTCAAGCTTTAGTATAACAGAGGTGATAGCATCAGCACCGAACAGGAAGGCCGTCTTTCTACCAGGAGTACTGGTCAGCTGGGTGGGTGGGGGAGTCTCGGCTCTCTGAAGAGCAAATGCGCCCGTACACCGTGCCAACCGCCATATCATAGGCACGCTGTTTCTGGGTAGGCGTTAAACCGTCCGTGTGAAGCTCTCTCGCCCGCTTCACTACAGCAGGAAAGTCCATGACACGCTGCAACTCGCGCTGCACGAGAGCCACACCCACACTAGACTACACCACACCCACTTCGCCGTGACGTTGACCGGGTGTGTTTACTCTTCCAGCAGCAATGAGTGATAGAAGTACATCTTCAAGTGAGGGCGATTTAAACCGTATTATCAGCGATGATGATATAGAAGTCATTGCTCGGGATCACCTGGCACTCTGGGAAGGCCTCCCTCTATTGAGCCCAGCCGAAGAAGTGGTCATACGTAAGAATTCACCTTCAGACTACCTCGACCAAAAACGGAAATTTTTGTTCAAGTGGAAAGAGAATCAGGGAGACAAAGCCACCTATCGAGAGCTGAGCAATGCGGCGACCACCATTGGAAACAAAGCCTTGGTAGATGTCTTACAAGATTTGGGTCACCGTACCCAAGGTAAAGTGTGCGTGAGTGCTAGAGTACATGGAGTATGATGTTGTGCAGATACTCTGAAAAGATGAAAACCGCCGGGAGGTACCTACTGTAACTTATCCCTGATTACGAAATCCCTACAAATAATCTCTAAATTAAAGAAAATAGGAGGTCCTTGAGCATGGTGTCCCAGTTTGTCTCTCAGTGTTTTAACGGGGGTGTGGCACTGGATTACGTAATGTGTTGCGGTTGGCGGCACAGGTGTAGTTTCATGCCCAGACCCTCACGTGCTCCTGCGCAAAAGAGGGTCTGGTTTCTTGGTTTTGCTGAGTCAGCATGTGCGGAAAACTGGTAAACCAATCTGATTGCTAGGTTTAAAAGTACATCATGTGACATTAGAGTACCGGGCTCTTATGGCACGCGGAGTATCTACCAGACCCTCCTTCGCGCTGGAGTTTGTGAAGGTCTGGGAATGATACTATGTATATAGCACATACGGTGAGCAGAAGTAGCAGGTATTTTCAGCAACTTCGAAAGCAAGAGAAGGCTACATATGTCGAGAAAGAAGAAATGGTTGCCGGATATGCACGAATGTTTTCGTTGGAGTCCAGTTTCTCATCTTGTTTGCCAGCATTCATCGCCACTGACGCTCAGGGTCGCGCGGAAACCGGTTAAACCTAGTGTCACCACCCTTAACGAAGCGGTTTGGGAATTCATACACACAGCAACTCAGTGGCAGCTACAGAATTTCTCCATTAGATGACCTGTGACCGTATGCTCTTTTGCCAACCACCACCGTGCGATTTCATTGCATTATGTCGTCATGCGTGGGTGGATCAAAAGCGCCGCCACGCACTATATCAGGGCGAAATACCCGCAGCGAGGGCTATATCAACATCCTATGAGTGTTATATCAACTTCAAGTGAGACGCAAGGGATGGTGCGAAGAGGGCTCGAGTGAGGGAGAACAACAGGAGAAGGCCAGCGACGGCGAATGGACTAGCGCGAGCACGGATGCAATACGGCGGAGATCGGGGCGAAATACGGGCTATATCAGTGTTACAACTTCCTGTAAGATGCAAGGGATGGCACGAAGAGCGCTCGAGTGAGGGAGAAGAACAGGAAAAGACCAGCGCGACAGCGAAGGGACTAGCGCGAGCACGGATGAACGTGAAGTCAGCTCAGAGACGCTCCGGGTCACGACCGGCCAGCAAGAAAAAATCCGGTCGGAAAACTGGTTTAGGTGGAGACAAACAAGAATTTTTGCGCCATTATCCGTAGCTACGCGGGTCATGACGACATAAATTACCTATGTCATGTCCGTTTCGGTACATTTCCGGAATAAATCACGAGTCCCGAGGGCGCGCACCGGCAACGTACCTCACGGACATGACATAACTACTATTTACGTAATGGATTGCCAGGTCCCCGTGAAAAAATATAGTGTTGCGGGACGAGATGTTTCAGGGGAAGACAACGTCTGGTCACTGCCGACTTTCCGTGGCACAATGGGAATATGATGTCATGTTGTGGTGGAGCCTTGGCAGATTATGCTCAAGCCTATTATTCGATTCTTTAATGCTCCTATATAATGTCTATATTTCTTTTTTCTTTCACAAATTTTTTCTTTCGATTGTAGCTGTTATTGTATAAGACATTTAACAAGGTGGTAGAGTTCAAAAAGTACTTGCATGGGAAAAGTGATGCTGGGTCTAGATTAATGTTTAAGTTGAGGTCAGGCACGCATGGGCTAAATGAGGAACTGCGGGCAGGCATACAGGGGGAGGGAGGGGTTGAAAGAGTGCCTGTTGTGTGATGATGAGTGTGAAAGTGTGAGTCATGTGTTGTGGGAGTGTCCAGCATATAGTAGTCTTAGGGGCAATTTCTTAGTTGCCCTGCAGGGGAAGCTTGGGGATGATGGGTTTGAGCATTTCCAGTCGCTTGATAGTTTCAGGAAAGCATCCTTTATATTGGGTAGTGAACTGTGGGAGGATAATTTTGGTTCTTTGCTTGGCCTTGTTAAAGATTTTATTTTGGATGTTTGGGAGCTAAGAAAGGTTAGGTTATACGGCGATAGTCCCTGTGTACAACAAACCCAGTCTTAGATTGCGTCTGGGGAGCTGCAGGGTGTCGCTGGTGGAAGGGGTGAGTTGAGGTGTCTGGGAGGTGAGACAGACACCTCATGTTCATATGGTGTATGTTCGTGTGTTAACGGTTCCACCCATTGCTCTGGGTGCGTGGTCTATGGCCCTAGTGCTATGGCAGCCACCTGAGTATTATTATTATATTTTTTCGATTGAGCCTATTTTTTCTCATAAAACTGCTGTTCAAAAAAGACACTGATTACAACACCTCTCTATAATTGTATATGACAAAGAGTAGTAAATAGTCCTCTAAAGAAGATTCCTGCTGAGAATTGAAATCATGGTTCAGTAGCGAGAACACTCTTTCCTCCGCTGCTGAAGGCGGCTGAACTAGAAGCACTAGGTCTCGACCTCTGCCTCAGCCATTTCTGTTACATGACACAGCGAAGCCTATGTGACGGAGTTATGCACATATGCATGTGTGAATTTTCCGCCATCATTGGCCTATTTTTCCAGCATAATCCTCAATGCTCATATACCCCTATTTTTCTCAAAATTATGCCAGCATAAGCCTAAGTGGAGTGCAATCAGCTTACCCAGTGCAGCTTTTCTTGTCAGCAAGCGGTGCTGCATGAGTTTTTACAGCCCCGTGAATCATTGTCATAGTACTGTAGAAGAAACATAGCCATCACTGTATGGTCTACTTTACTGTGTTTGAACTCGTGACTGTGGTGACTGGTGTGTTATAGGGGTCAGAAGACACTGAAAAATGAGAAAGGGCAGGTGGTAACGCTCCCTGCTGTAACTTTCTGCCGTAATTCCTGGCTTTAGGATGATAACCACACTAATTGAATGATAACTCCACCCCTTTTACACTGTTGTGATGGTGCCAACATTCCGGCGCCATCCACAGAAACCCGGCAATAGTGGCTGACGTTCCCATCCCCCGTGAAACATCCACGACACCTTACAAACTTGCCTCTAAGAGCAGACAAGTACATGTAGCCAATTATTATCTGCGAATGTGTCTGCAGTACTCTCATGTACTGTGTGCCTGTTGTGCACAATTCAACATGTATGTACGTATTGCAGCTACAGCTGTAGGTATATACATATGTTATAGATACAGCCACAGCAGTAAAACATAATGTATACCTGAATGTCCCCATCTCATGTAGGTGATTTAACTACACCACCATCCAAACGGCCATGCTACCCTTCTTTACCGCCAGTCCTCCTGCGCTATGCCGAGTATCTCAGGAGTGTGTATGCCAATGCTCCTCTTACCTATCCCGATAAACTATCTCCCGAGGTGAACACGCCTTATATCAAGCTTGCTCTTGTAAAAGGCACTAAAGTAAGCAACCTCCAAGATGCTAATGAATTAACACGTCTTACGCTTGAAGGTGACCTTTATCTGATATTTCAACATAAGGAAGAAATCTCAATGGATAAGGTGTTTACGCTGGGCAATGATTAAATATTACGTCTCGTGATAGTAGAAGGGGCACCTGGTATTGGTAAGAGCACGTTTGTGTTGGAGCTCTGTAGACAGTGGCCTAAAATGCTCTCACTCCAGCCCTTTTCCCTCGTGGTTCTTCTAAAGCTACGAGATGAGGAAATAAGGTTAGCTGAAAGAGTAGGGGACCTCCTTCCTTGGGAGGACCATCCTACAGATCATGCCACTCGGTCGAAGAGGTTACAAAGAGACACGGGAAGGGTGTTCTGTTTCTGTTTGACGGCTTTGATGAATTTCCCAGCTCATCTCCGACAGTCTCCTAGCGCTTCATTTGTTATGAAGGTGCTGCACGGAAAAGCTCTTCCACGTGCCACCGTTCTAGTCACAAGTCGGCCTTCAGCTAGAATACATCTCCAACCACTAATGCGGTCAGATAGCACCAAACTCATCGAGGTTGTTGGTTTTGGCGAGGAACAAATACAGCAGTTTGCTGCCAATGTCTTTGGTCCAGAGTCAGAGACCCTTGCCAGTTTCAATGACTACTTGCATGTCAACCCAGTCATCAGGAGTATGATGTACAATCCCTTGAACTGCTCCATTATAACTGAAGTTTTTAGTGAAACGTCGAGATCAAAAAAGCCTGTTCCCCACACACAGACCCAGCTCTACACTGAGATGGCCCTTTGGCGTCTGTCGAGGTATCTCAGTGGTGTCGGGGACCCATTAGCCACTGCTCTACCTGATAACCTAAGTGATATTCCTAATCATAGCCCTCTCTACAAGAAGCTGGTTGAAATAGGAAAGATAGCATATAAAGGTAAACAAAACGGTACGATTATTTTTGAGAGGATTCCAGAAAACTGCAGTGACCTAGGTCTACTCATTGAACACCAAGCACTCTACATGCGAAAGAAGAGCACCACATACAACTTTTTTCATTTGACAATGCAAGAGTACATGAGTGCCTTTTACATAGCTCAGCTTCCAGCCATAAAACAGAAGATGCTCTTTAAACAGTGTGAATCAATGCCTGTTGTGTGGAGGTTTGTGGCAGGTCTGACTAAAATGGAGAACATAGGATGGGACGTAGTCTACGATAATGAAGTAACACCATTCTTCTGTCAGTGTCTATATGAGGCACAAGATATAGACAGCATAAAAGCTGTTTTTTCTTCACGCAGTATATTATACTCATCATACAGTGAAACAAACTATGATGCTTTTGTTCTTGGTTACTGTATATCAGGATTTAGTAACACGTGGAGTTTGGATGTTGATGGTAGTGTGATGAAGATCTTAAAATGATGTGTCATGGGATGAAGTCAGTTCAATATGGAGGTGGGACTATTGAGCGTTTAGGCTTCCATACTTGTCGTGGAATTCTCAATAACAAAAATTACTTGCTTACCTTGTCACATGATATCCTAAGGAACATAAAAACCTTGACGCTTAACAAATGTGAGATTGACCAACATGGATTGCGTAACTTAGCCGAGTGTATTCCGCATACATCTTCTCTAACAAGATTCGTCTTGGTTGGGAATCAAGGCGTGCCTGGAGGCATACCAGTACTGATGGAAGCCTTGAGGGAACGTAGAGAACCTCTTTCATTAGATTTGAGAGACATGACCTTGGAGAAATCTGATGTGACGGCACTCTTAGATCTACTACAGATAAAAACAAGCTGCATAAAAACACTGGCCTTAGACATGAGGGACATGACCTCATCTACTCATGGTGCATGCAGATTATTGCAGAAAGTACTCGCTTTGTCATTATCTTTGGAAACCCTCCACTTGTTCAGTTTCCCTGTGAAAGCATTCGAAATTCTCTGTGCCATTAATGAGAATATTAGAAACTTGGAGATTTTCCTGCGAGGTAGTGATGTATTGACTCCTAGAGTGAGAATCCAAAGCTTCAAAAAACTTTGCCACTTCATCAGTGAGAATAAATCCCTGCAGCAGTTGACACTTGATAGGGTACTGCACAAAGAAGCTTCAGCTATATCGCAATCACTGCGACAGAATCACACTCTTAGGAAGGTATTATTGGTACCATGTTCTACTATATATCGCGACCGGCTCTCCCTAGACCCCCGTATTAATGTTGCTCATTTCCACTAATACGAGCCTTGGGTAAGTGAGTGGGAAGTTGATGATGAAGACGACACACTTGACGATGAAGGTAACATTGGCAAAGAAACCTCATAATGAACATTATTTTGACCGGCCCTCCCTAGACCTCCGTATTAAACTTGGATTTCTTGGGGTATGAGCCTTTGGTTAGTGGGTCGGAAGGGCTATCACCCTCTCCGACGTGCCTTTCCAGGTCAACTTCAACGGAGTTGCTTCGGGTGCACCCGCCTCTGCCGGCCACAATTCGCTGGCGACAGTTGATGATGAAGACTGACGATGATTCTTATGAAAATAGTGATGATGATTCCTTGTTGCCACTAACCCCATAGAACATACTTTGCAGCCAATATCTGACTTACAATAGCAAATCAAAATCAACGAATACAAGAAATAAATTTACCATCAGATGTCACACTCCAATAAGTTGGAGCCATTTCAGCCCATGCATCCTGCTGCCCCCAGCCATGCACCGACTTTATCATAAAGTTTTGTTGAACCATTGTCAGCATTTTTGTAAACCTGTTCTCAATCCTGTGTTTGCTGTATGACTAAGAGTATAGTTTTTACCAATGTGAGTTTTTGCTCTACCTGATGCTCATCCCTGGTGTAACTAAGAATTTTTAAGTCACAAAAGGGCTCACTGAACAGTGAACAGTCGGAACGTAGTCGAGATGAGCATATTTTCTCTTCATGCCATATTACGAAGCTTTACCTAGTATGTGTGTAGCTGAATTTGCTTTGCCTTGCCTTCCTACCTTGTTACCTCGTTGACACACGTGTACACATGTGCATGTTGTTGACACATGTGTACATGTGCATAGTGCCACAAATGGTACGTAACAGACCATTGAGGGTTAATACTCTACGTTCAAAACACACTAAACACATTACAGCAGACACACAAATCTAGTGTATGCAACAAAATGAGTGTCATATCAGTTACTATATATAGGAGGAGTGTAATAGTAACAATTGTCTATTCTGAGGTGAAAAAACCTATGCATCAGATTCATTCATATTGCCAGGTGACACGGTCTCCACATAATTGCCAGGGAACAACCCGTTGACTCCGTTCGTTACTCCCTCGTACCACCCGTCGTCATTCTTCTTCACGATGTAGATGATTTCTCCCGTGACAAAGGTCAACTCGTCGTCTCTGTCTTTGGTGTAGTCATAGATGGCCTTCACTGTATATAGGGCAAAGATAGCAATACGTGTATCTAACACCTTGAATTGAATACCGTAGTAGGTACACTAGTGCATCCAAGTGACCACACCGATTTCTGCATGTGTTTGCTACTGTCTCTGTCTATTTATACCAGCACAAACTACATACTGTACATGTGTAATTGTAGTAAACTTGTAGTTCACAAAAATCACTTTTTAAGGCCACGAAAGAGCACATGACTACAGTAACAGCACCAATGATTAGGTTGGCTACATCTGAAATAGGACATACATGAAGAAAGTGGGTTTTGTTAGGCTCAATTCGCTACGTGTATGTACCGCTATTAGTCAATTTCAGCCTATTTCTAATAGCTGCCCACCTTTCTCGAGGTATTTCTTGGGGGCCCAGTCAGGTTCAGAGGGAGGGGGAGGGGGAGGGAGGTCCACTGGGGCCTTGGACCCCTTCCGGCTGCTCAGTCGTGCCTTCAAGATGTCCTCCGGGTTGAAGGGGGCGGGGCCAGGTGGCTCCCTGGATTTTGGTTTTGGAGCAGTGGGTTGGGTGGCTGGGGGTGTGGTCTTCCTTGGACCTGCACAATACATGTAGTTCATTAAAGGGGCAGAGGTAAAATCATCAAGACATAGAGCATGCTTGATTCCTCCGGCTAAATAACAGTGAAATGTAATTGTAATTGCACCTACCCTGGGTTAATAGTCACTTACACAAAAGATGCAAGTGAATTGTAGTGAATGCTACATAATACCTATAGTTAGACAGGGGAGTCAGTGAAATCTACAGAAGCCTGAAGGCCCTTGCATTGTGCCGTTCCGAGCGTAGTGAGGATGTACGTAAAGGGCCCGAGGGCTTATAATGCCTGTATACATAACGGATGAGCTGCCCGACTTATTGAGAGCGAATTCTAATTGAGGCACACCCAATGTCACATGTGCGCGGGTTGCGTGGGGTAACAGCACCACAGGCACTTAGAAACGTGAATTCTGGATTTAGAAAACATTCAGTGTGAGTGAGCTCCAAAACCTTACGTACATCATAGTGTGTATATATGTACATACCTGTTCCTCCAAGTGGAGGGGGAGGGGGAGGTGGTGGAGGAGCGCCACCTAGGCCACCTAGAGAGGATTGCATCATTATGACATCACTCAGGTCATTGGATGACTCACCCGCAGGGGGAGGAGGAGGGGGTGTGGCAGGTACCCCTCCACTGGTGGAGCTATCTCTCTTGAAACTGTCTCGTCTCGGTTTCTGGGCCACGATGGGTGAGGGTCGGGCCTTGCTACAGTTAGGACCCCCAATTGCAGGGGCAGGGGCAGGAGGGACCTGCACATTGACATGCAACACTCATTCACACACCAATTTTGTATTGTATAGAGATTTGATACACTTTTGTTGCATGTCACGAAGTCAAACAAATCAACTACACTCAGGAAAACATGCTCAAACAGTGCACACTACACAGGAGATGGAAGTCAACTTACTTCCAGGTGTAGGTGAGTCTTTAGGCAGAGTAGAGGCCCCACGGCGACCAGAGGTCTTCTTGAGTTTCACTGACGAAGGGTCAAATCCAAACGGCCCGAAGCCTCCACCTCCTCCTGACGACAGCTGGGGCTGCACCTTTGGCTTCGGCTTGTCCTCTGGTTTGGGGGAGACTGTGGACCTATCAAACTTCTTGGTTCCCCCCATTGGGGGAGGAGGTGGAGGAGGAGGAGGACCTGGGGAGACAGACAAAGACAGTTGGTATGGCTGACATCACTTACACCTGTAAAGTTTTGTACACAGAATATGGCCTTAAACTTTTGCACTCCTTATACATAAAAACCTCGGTAACTCTCTGCTAGCTGGACAATGTGTGTCTATAGCCAGGAGCACATGTGGTGTGGAACACACAAAGCACACGGCTCAAAGGCCTTTGATACATTGTAGTAGGCAACCTTCGTGTACAGTATAATTATACAAGTGGTACACCAGATATGTACATACAGTAGGATAAGCTACTGTGTAAGTACGTACGTACCAGGTCCCCCTCCAGCAGGGGGAGGAGGAGGGGCTCCAGAGGGAGGGGGCGGGGCCAGGGGACCAGGAGGTGGAGGACCACCTGGACCTGTATATGTAGATTAGATTAATATTGCGGACTGCCACATTGTTGTAGCCCATAAACAACAATTACTGTATATGAATGGCACGGATTTTTGCCGACTGAGCGTGAGCAGTTCTCGTATTTCCTTGACCATACTTGGTTCTTACACCCGTAGCCTTGTGAATGGTCATGGAGTATGTTCTATTCCTTGCACTGCTTGGGTCTTGCATGTATATACAGAGCCTAACTGCCTTCCACAACATACTTGTATGTAGACTGTAGTATGTAATCAGGTTGTACATGTACACACAACAGACATTCCCATGAGTATTGCAGACATTCTGGTACGTAACCCCAGCAACAGAGTGGTATGGAACATAAGTTATCTGCCTATAACACACTATCCACATTCATTTGTGCATGGATTACGCAACAGCAATAGATCTCCTTCCACACACCAATGTATTGGCAACTATAGAGTATGTAAACAACAGACCAGGAGGAAGAGGTGGAAGGAAGAGCGTTGCTCGATGGAGAGGAGGAGGTGGAGGAAGCCTTCGGCATTAGGGGAGGTGGTGGAGACCCGGCTGTATACAGTACGCATGTAGCCAGACACAAACAGAAAGTAAAGTGCAGCACACACTGGTATAGTTGCACTGTTTGTCGTGCCTTTGGAGCAGTAGCCTACAGAATGCTTTATCGAGGTAGTGGATTCAACTATACTGACTTTTCCTAGTATGTAAAAAATTTAAGCACACATCAGACCACACACAGTGCTACTCAACGGTGGGTTCACTACAACACAGTGACTGTGAGAAGAGTTTATATGACTCAGGTGAGATGAAAATGTTGATTGGGAGGGTAGGGCTCCTATAACTATTACATGTACATACAAATGTACATACAAATGTACACTGTAGGGTCAACATTCTGTGTGCTTAGGACACAAAGTAAAGCTCAGAATACCAGAGGAGAGAATATTGCACTGGTACGTACATACTATATTAGGAAGAGTAAAACACACAACACAGACACCCCTAGAAAAGGATATGTATATACAACCCAACACATCAACTGGAGCCTACTGTTCAGAGTTACACACCTGAGAGATGTGGCTGACGTTAGCCTCCATCTCGCCCAGGTGCTGCATCTGTTTGTCCAGGAGCTCCAGCATGCCCGTGGCCAGCATGTTCACCTGGTAGGCCACGCTGGCCAGACTCTGCGCCGCGTACTTCTTCGTGTCCTCCAGTGCCTGAGTACTCTGCCCCGTCTCGATGTAGTTCCGTTCGCAGTAGTCGGCCGACTTGTTTCGGTTCTTGTTGCTCTGGGTGTGTGGTCGATGGTCAAAACGCGATGGCAAACACCTGAGTGTCATTGTTATGGTGCGCGAGGCAACTACTCCGGGTCGGTCGTATATACGTACGTGTCGGTCACGAGAATGTCAAATAGTCACGCTTAGGAATGTCCATGCCATCATTCGTAACAAGTCTAGCTTCCGCCTTGCGCGCGCGCAGATTGCCGAGAGGGGAATTCCCGCACTGCTGGCCGACACCGGCCCGCACTAGCAGCGACATCGGCCCAACGTCGGAGCGCACTGTGTCCGATGCCTGACGTCGGCCAGCACTGTTTGCGACGACGGCCCGCACGGTTTGCGACGTCGGTCCGCACTGTTGGCGACGTTGGTCCGCACTGTTTGCGACATCGGAGCGACGTCGGTCCGCACTGCTAGCGACAGCGGTCCGTACTGCTAGCGCCGGTGAAGCCGGTGTCTAGGGACTCAATTTTCAGTGGGTGGAGTTCCACTATGGCGAGTAGGGGTCATGTAGTCGTTCCATCCAGGGAACTAGACAGTTAGTTTTTCAACGTTGTACTTTTTGTATGCCTCATACACCGGGACTGTAGAAGCAGCTTAGGTCTCAAACGGAGCCATCGCGTTTGGAAATAGGTTTGAAAATCAAGGTAAGTCCTCTCTCTTTGGTAAGATGATTGGACCTATTTCCAAACGCGATGGCTCCGTTTGAGACCTAACCTTGCTAGCTGCTTCTACAGTCCCGGTGTATGAGGCATACAAAAAGTACAACGTTGAAAAACTGTCTAGTTCCCTGGATGGAACGACTACATGACCCCTAGGAACTCCACCCACTGAAAATGTAGTCCCTAGCGGCTTCACCGGCGCTAGCAGTACGGACCGCTATCGCTAGCAATGCGGACCGACGGACTAGACTTTTTACGCATTGGCTGGCAGGCGCGAGGTTCAAAGTTCATGTTCGAATGGCCCGCCCGGGCATGACATGTATACAGACAAGTTAAAAAACATGTAGGAAGCATAACACATGACTGAAGAAGGTGGGGTCCATGGTAGTCAAAGAGTCAAGTAGAGTGCACCAGGAGTTGTCTCTCTAACTCTGATTCGCACACATCCAAATTTATACCATGGTTAGCAACGGTTCATGGCGACAATTACGAGAAACAAACCACTAGTGGGAGGGATATAAGGACCCCTTTTGACAGAAGATATGGATCTTCAACCAACTGGCGACTTGTATCTGGCGAACATCAGCGCCTCCATTTTCCCGCGTGTGCATTCCTAGTAATATATAACCCTAGCAGACTTATGCAAAGATGAGTGATTTGCAAACAACACATATCTGCAGAACACAAACATTAGTCTGGAATAGAGACACTTGTCATGGGCAATAGCTACTGCCAGGAAGTCTGGACCCAAATCACTCAGCTGAAAGTTGGGGGGAGGTATTCCAAACAGTGCTCACTCCCAGGGGTCGTGTGTAGAGGCATATCCATCACCTCTGAACATCTCCAGGAGCCTCAGCTCACAATAGAGAAAGAGTCTAACTTGCAGTGCAGTTCGAGGCTGCGGGAGACTGCAGTAAAATTCCTAGCTATAGTAAGGCGGCTTGTCAGGGAAAGTCCCCTGTTCATTTCTCCTGCACTCTGAACAACTCCAGGAGATAATGAAAAGCACTGAAGTGCAAACCCTCGGCACATTGTGACACGCACGCGTAAGTTAACGCATGCGCAGTACCACTAATTGATGGGCTGGGTTTAGTTTTAGTTTTTACTCGTGGTCTCTTGCCAGCTTGCGCATAATCTGACGCGGGCTAACTATACTACTAGATACTACCATGCGAGAGGCGATACACACCCTGCGTTGCATCTTCTGGTGCCTCCGAGGCACGCAGAGCACGCGGATCGATCAGACCGGGGTATCCCGTCCGTTGCGTATTTGCATATTGGCATTTTCGCGCTCTAGCTCTGCAACGGAGCATTTTCAGAGAAAACCCCACATATATTCTGACCTTCGTCGCCCGTTGGGTAGATGGTATCGTTTCATTCGAGAGGTGAGATGTAGAGTAACGGACAGACACAGACAGACAAACCCAACTACTGTAACCCTCGCTGCGCATGCGCGCCGAGGGTTAACTACTACAAACGTAAGATTGGCGAGCTCCGGCAGGGAGTTACCCGGGGTCCGCTGACCGTCGGTGGGAATTCCCTCGGTGTGAGCTTCCTGCTGCTGCTGATCCATCGGCTTGTAGATAGCACCTGAGCGGGTGGTCATAGAAGAATCGAACGTGGGCCTCGCTTGCAACTGCTATATAGCGAAGATCCCACCGCTGCCACCAAATGTGGTAGAGCGCGGCCGTGGCGGCGAAGGTAGCGAAATGTTTATTTTACGCACAGCCTCCTGAGGGCTGAGCAGCTGACTCTTTTATACCAATGGCGAGGAGGAAAGACTGGTGGAAGAGTGGGAGTGGATGTGAGGGAGTAATAGGTGGTTGTAGTAAAGAAGAGGAAGATGCTATTATAATTATAGCTAACAGCTGTGGGTATGGCATATGGTGGCCCTTTGAGTGAGGTATATACAATAGTGGGAGGTAGAGAAAGAGTGGTGAAAGGTGCTCCAAGGGGTGAGGAATTACAACAGAGGAGTGAGCCAGCTACTCTATCTAGTGGATATTGGTGAAGGGCTGCGTCCAACTGTTCCTACTAGTGCAAATGTTGAACATTGTTGGCGAGCGGGAGCGACCCAACTTGGGATTTGCCCGTGATGTTCGGGTTGCATAACGTGCCGTCAGCGCACAGCTTTCCTTTCGTGAAGCAAGACAGAGCTGTGTACCTGTCGCCGTTACATAACGTATTGTACATTGGCAGAACGGTGAGCAGGTGAGCAGAACGGTACTTACTTTACGCTTTCAACTCGTCAGTCGTGGTTCACAAGGCAGCTGGCATGCAGCAGTACGTGCACGAGCAATCCTAGCGTATTTGCAAGTTGCAGCTTCGAACCATGAAGATTGGGATGAGGTATATACAGCCTCGGTCAGTCGCCGAAGGTTGCAGCGCATGCTGTCGAATGGAGGAGAGTTCTCTAGCTGGCTATATAGATCGATCGGCGCATATCGCGAGGCACCGTGTGTGAAAATGTGTAAAAATTTGGAAATGGTTTCGGATAAAAAGAAGCGCGTTCAAAGACGCGCATGCGCACTTACACGACGTACGACGGTCTATATCATATATAATTATAATTATATAATTATATAATATACTAGTGGAAATGTTGAACATTGTTGGCGAGCGGGAGCGACCCAACTTGGGATTTGTCTGCGATGTTCGGGCTGCATAACGTGCCGTCAGCGCACAGCTTTCCTTTCGTGAAGCAAGACAGATCTACCTGTCGCCGTTACATGCGTATTGTATATTGCCAGAACGGTGAGCAGGTGAGCAGAACGGTCCTTACCTCACGCTTTCAGCTTGTCTGTCGTGGTCCACCAGGCAGCTGGCATGGCAGTAGGCTAGGCAGCGATCGATCGGGCTGCCCGACAACGTCCATCAGGTAGCTGGCATGCAGCAGTATGTGCACGAGCAATGCTAGCGTATTTGCAGCTTGGAACCATGAAGACTGGAAAGAGGTACAGCCTCGGTCAGTCACCGAAGGTTGCAGAGCATGCCGTCGAATAGAGGAGAGTTCTCTGGCTGGCTAGATCGATCGGCGCATATCGCGAGGCATGTGTGTGAAAATGTGTAAAAAGTTGGAAATAATGTCGGATAAAAAGAAGCGCGTACAAAGCAGCGCATGCGCACTTACACGACGTACGAACGCATATATATTAGTAGGCGAATGCATGGCATTTTTGGCGAGCGGAAGCGCGCTTACAATTGGGGTCTAATCGTATGAGTCACTCTTGTGTGTACACAAAACAGTGAGATACATTGCACAGGACCAAGTAGGCCGAAACGACCCGAGCGCAGTACACAATTCGAGTCGAGTCAAAAACAGTCAGACGACAGCGCGAATCAGGCATAATCCGGCAATCTGATTGGTCTTGCAGGAATAGGGAACTAGTGGCAATGTAGAAAAATCTCTCGCTGGACTGTGCAGCAATACTCGATAGCTTCGGAGGTGTTGCGTTTCCCCTCATTCCGCTCGATTCAGGCAGCATTATGAAAATGTTGAAATGCCTTTCGGATAAAAAGAAGCGCGTAATGCTGGAGCATGCGCAGTTGGACGACGTACGGGTACATATTATATAGAAAAATCGCGCCGTTCGGGCCACTTGGTTAGCTCGCTTCCGCTCGCCAATAATATACTAGTGGAAATGTTGAACATTGTTGGCGAGCGGGAGCGACCCAACTTGGGATTTCACCGCAATGTTCGGGCTGCATAACGCGCACAGCTTTCCTTTCGTGAAGCAAGACAGATCTACCTGTCGCCGTTACATGCGTACTGTATATTGTCAGAACGGTGAGCAGGTGAGCAGAACGGTACTTACCTTACGCTTTCGCTCGTCAGTCGTGGTCCACCTGGCAACTGGCATGCAGCAGTATGTGCCCTAGCGTATTATGCAAGTTGCACCTTGAGATTGGGAAGAGGTACAGCTTCGGTCAGTCACCGATGGTCGAATGGAGGAGAGTTGAAATAATTTCGGATAAAAAGAAGCGCGTACAAAGACGCGCATGCGCACTTACACGACGTACGAACGCATGTATATATATATATATATATATACACAGAACATTCCGCTCGAACGAAAGACTAGGTTGGCTCTAGGCCTGCGTCGATTATTCCGGAATAATTTCGGGAATAATAGGTCCCTCTGGGAATAAGAATAATTCCAAGAATAATAGGTTGAAAGTTGCGACGAGCGGGCAACGGCGGCAACTCGGAAGTCGCGGAAGGCCGAAGTGTGAGTGCCGAGTGGACGCGCGTCATGTTGCAGTACAATGATCGTGATGTTTATTTATGTGCCTGCTCTGTAGTACTGTTTTTTTTCATTTTTGAAGCAGAATAATAGGTAAATTTCTGTGAATAATGGGTAAACTTTAAAGAATAATAGGCATGTGGAGTAGGAAATTCAGAATAGAATATCCGGACAAATTGTGGGAATAATAGTCTCAGGCCTAGTTGGCTCGCTCCCGCTCGCCAATAAATAGAAAATTCCGCTCGAACGAACGACTAGGTTGGCTCGCTCCCGCTCGCCAATTATATAGAAAAATCGCGCCGTTCGTACCACTAGGTTGGCTCGCTCCCGCTCGCCAATTAGTACCTATACAGCTTGTGAGTCTGTGTTCCCACGCAGTCCTTCACACCTCACCGTAAGGGCGAAAGATGAGGAGTCCGACCGTCCGGGTTGCTTTCCCGATCCACGGGTTCGCTCGCTTCGCGCTTCGCTACTGCGCAGAATCTCCGTCGACTCCGCCGCGTGGTCCGTCTCGCTCGCGCTCCGGCGGGCTTCTTTCTATTATAGAGATTCGACGTCCTTATGCAAGGAGTCCAAAAACTCCATGAGTCTATGTAGCAGAGACGCGATATCTCCGTTTCCCTGGTTTTCCATTGAGCGGCAAATTGCTATATACGTAATTGAGCCACACCCCCTGAAATGTAGAAGTCATTACGTAATTGCTACTAAATTGAGCAGGAAAATTGGCCATACATACACTGTTTAGCCTAGGGCGGGCAGGCTGTCGATTCTGTAGCTGTGTTGTGTTCCTGTTCCCGGCTAGCTGTTACTACTACTCCCTGGAAACCATGTCTGATCAGGTTTTTAAGAACTTAGCTACCCATCATACTTTTCTGTTATATCAGGCTTGCTAGATTAGTGTGGCCATCAATCAACGGTTGATCTGATCGTAAAAGGGGCATGGCATATTTCCGCCTGGCTGTTTCTGAGCGGCAGCCTTATTTCATGAACATAGTATAAAAATAACGACACCTCGTTTATTACGCGCTGAACCGCTCACTCACCTGTACAGTTGACTATCGATGATTTTGCCCGAGTCCTAGAGGCTTTGTGGGCGGCAAGATCAAAATGGAAAAACATTGGGGTTCGCCTGAAGCTGGCAGTTTCTGATCTCGATTGTATTAATGCTGAGCCAGGGATCAGTCTTGATGAAAAATTTGATCGTATGTTATCAGCGAGATTAAAGATGATAGAGCCATGCACCTGGAGAGATCTCTATGATGCATTAAATCATCCTACTGTTGCCATGTCTGATGTGGCAAGTAAACTTGTACCATACCTACCACCTGGTAAGTATTATAAGTCTTGCCGCATACCTATGTACACCTGGTACTGTTTCTCTTAGTTGCAGCTCCAACTGAAACTGGAGATACTGATGGTGTAGCACCAGCTGCGTCAGTTACCACATCTCCTATTGTAACTGGCCCCCAAATTGACAGCAAAGGTTGGATGTAATTAACCCTCGGCGCGCATGCGGCGAGGGTTACAGTAGTTGGTTTGTCTGTCTGTGTGTGTGCCTGTGTGTGTCGATGCTTATTCTGTCACTACAGGCTACGAGGCGGCCTATTAGCGATACCAGTGGCTTCAAAAGTACGCGAGCCTGAAAAATAAAGGGTGAAACGATTGTGTTTGAGAGATACGCCATGAAAAACAAGTAAAAATTGAAATGCATAATCACACTTGGCTTACTGCAACCTGATCTGCTCGCTGCTGTGTACCTTGGGGGCTCAGGAATTCACAACGAATGGCATGTATCGACCCCCGCATGCTATCTACTAGTGGAAATGCTTGGTATTCTTTGGGCGAGCGGAGCGAGCCTTTAAGTGTAGTGTAGCGCAAGTGTATATACAACCATCATCATTACTAGCGAGCTACGTACCTCAGGTAAAACTTTTCAATAAGTAACAGAAGTTTTTATGGTGCTGCTTGTCACATTATGTTGAAACTACAAGAAAAAGTAGCACGGGGCTGTAATTTGTAGTCCGACGTTGCCTTGCCCGCTCTCCATCTCTAAATCGTCACTGAAAAAGACGAGTCGTGAGGACTTTCGACGGCCGGGCGTTCTGTCTGTCTACCTCTGTGAACAGAAGCAGTGTCGTTGCCTTGCCCGCTCTCGATCTCGTAATCGTCACTGAAAAACACGAGCCTCTCGGTCGTGAGGACTTTCGAAGGCCAGGCATTCTGTCTGTCTACCTCTGTGAACAGAAGCAGTGAGTATTGTCACTGGACGTGCCACCAGGCCCCGCCCAATATTAGTTGAATCGCGTAATATCGGCGCATGCGCATAACTACAACGGATGGTGCGTCGTATATAAATATTAATATATGAATAAATAAATATATATATATAGGAATATAATTATATATATACAAGTAAATTAAAAATCCTGCGAATTTAAAAAAGAGGCATATAGGGATGGTATAAAAAGAAAGGGAGACAAGATAGGGATTGGATACATGAAGCATGGTTAATGAACAGATTTGAGTATGCTGACACCCCCAACCCCATCACACAATCCTTATATTGTTGCCTGGTGTGCTACTCTTATAGGGGCGAAAGGTTACTAAAAGCAAGCATTCTTTCACCTTGTCCCTGTTGTTTTAGTAACATTTATACTGCCACATTCCCATTTAAACTCCACTTGGACTCTATAAGGGTGTTGGTTACTCAGTAGTGTATTGTAAGTTCTGAGTATTGTAATGGGGAATGTTTAATACTTCACCTGGGCAACAATATAAGGATTGTGTGATGGGGTTGGGGGTGTCAGCATACTCAAATCTGTTCATTAACCATGCTTCATGTATCCAATCCCTATCTTGTCTCCCTTTCTTTTTATACCATCCCCATATGCCTCTTTTTTAAATTCGCAGGATTTTTAATTTACTTGTCTCCACTCATTTTTGTATACTACTACGTATCATCTCTGTGGAAGGGGGCAAGCCCCTATAAAAATTAATAATAGAGAAAAATGCCTGTTGTCGTCACGGAAATGACATGCATATCATGTTTCATCTCCATGTGTGCTGCCGTTAGCAAGTTTGAGGAGTGAAGAAGTAATTTTAAAGAAAAATGCCTGTTGTTGTGGACGTCATGGAAACAATGTATTACGCATGCGCACCAAGTTTCACCTCCATGCATGCTACAGTTAGCAAGTTTGAGGAATGAAGAAGTAATGTTAAAGAAAGGTGCCTGAGGCTATTTATTGTTGTAGTTGTCATGGAAACGATGTAATACACATGCGCACCAAGTTTCACCTCCATGTGTGCTATAGTTAGCGAGTTTGAGGAGTGAAGAAGTAAATTTAAAGAAAAATGCCTGTTGTTGTGGACGTCATGGAAACAATGTATTACGCATGCGCACCAAGTTTCACCTCCATGCATGCTACAGTTAGCAAGTTTGAGGAGTGAAGAAGTAATTTTAAAGCAAAGTGCCTGAGGCTTTTTGTTGTTGTAGTTGTCATGGAAACGATGTAATTCACATGCGCACCAAGTTTCACCTCCATGTGTGCTATAGTTAGCGAGTTTGAGTGAGAGTAAATTTAAAGCAAAGTGCCTGAGGCTTTTTGTTGTTGTAGTTGTCATGGAAACATGTAATTCACAGCGCACCAAGTTTCACCTCCATGTGTGCTATAGTTAGCGAGTTTGAGGAATGAAGAAGTAAATTTAAAGTAAAGTGCCTGAGGCTACTTTGTGTTGTGGTTGTCATGGAAACAGTTTAATACGTATGTGTATCAAGTTTCACCTCCATACATGCTACAGTTAGCAAGTTTGAGGAGTGAAGAAGTAATTATAAAGATAATCGTCTGAGGTTTCTTCAAACTGTATGCGGTCGTCATGGAAACATGTAGTTGTCATGGAAATGATATAATAGGCATACGTACCAAGTTTCATCTCTATGCGTCCTACCATTAAGGAGTTTGAGACGTGAAGAAGTAAATATAAAGAAAAGTGCCTGAGGCTATTTGTTGTTGTTTATAAATATGTATTGTTGTGTTTTTGATGTTGGGTATTGAATACATTATGTATACAAAGTTTCGTTCGCATAACTCTTACAATTAATGTGAATTACACTAACACATGTATGTCCATTATAATGTATTGCCTGGGGCAATTTTGTTGTTGTTTACAGTAAACAACATTGTTTACAAACAAAAAGGTATGATGAGTCCCATGTGGTTATCGATACGCACATTCTTACAAAATTTCATGGCTTTATCTCTTTCGGTTTTTGAGTTACGCTGGTCGAAGAAGAAGAAGATGAACAAAACTCCCTATCATAGCCCCATACATCTATGATGCTAGGTACCATGTCAATCCCTATATACTAAGTACTACCGTACTTAGTGATATAATATAGGAATAATTATATATATATATATAATATAGGAATATATATATATATATATATATATAGGAAGCAGGGGGCTGCGGGGGCTGGAGCGCCTGTAAAATTATTCCATAGGGGGCAGCGCTCGCGGAGAGTCTGACACGTTATAGTTACAGTAGTACAGACTCTCCGCGAGCTACTAGCGGCAGACACGAGTAAACGCATACAAATAGCCCAGCCATCAATTAGCAGTATATCCACACACGCAGTTTGCCGAGGGTTTGCACTTTAGTGCTTTTCATATGTGTCGGTAACCAGTACTGTCATGTGTGTCTTAGTGCATGTCTGCCTTACCCATACTGTTATAAGAGGTTTTACAGTTTGAGTTTGATTGGATGAGTATGGAAAGCTGTGGCTCTACTTTGCACGTGATCACTGAGCCGAGCACTGTGCGGTTAAGCATGCTTGCAATGTGTGAGGTGGCAAAACAACTAGCTACTATGTAAAGGCATCTACAGATTTTTCGCCTGAACGATGGTGATACTTTCAAGGAAATTCGACCGCCTCACCGCATGAATTCAGGAGGTCGTTTTGCCTCACTGCAGTGATTATCAGTATTTTTACACAAGTCTCAGCACCCATCAGCTCAAGTGACCAGACAAGGCCTCGTGGCTTTTCGACTATGGTCTACCCGGGTGATGGCTTTAGTTCAGTCGTTGTTTACTCCCTTCCTCCACAAAATCCGCCGTAATATGAGTTAGTGTAGATATACATGCTGTTACCTCAGCAACTATGCTAGCTACACATTCCCTGTTACATCGACCATGGTAGCTGCGTACATGTTGCTGCGGGGTTGCGCGCTAGCTGCAAACTCGCTGCTCTCTCCACGTCCATGCTGTCTCCTCTCTCTGGTCGTCCGGTCCACCAACAGCCTAGCCTCGTTCCCAGTCTTTGTTATTTGGAAATGCCTAGCCTCGTTCCCAGGCCGTGTTTTGCGGGAGAGGAAAAAGGCCTGGGAACGAGACTGGGGTTTGCTACATGAAAGGGCCGAGGCTGTGGCTAGTCAAGCTTGCCCAATCTTGCATATGCTTAGCTACCGTGGAAACAAGCATTACGTCAAACAATACTATGATCTGATTGGTCACTCAGGCTTCAAATCGGCGCACCCTCAGCAGCACGGGATATCCCCTCACTTGTTTACGATACCACCCTTTGGGCTCCCTCCTCGTATGGTACCATGTGAATTGGCCTGTTAAGAAAGAGATAGGAGGGCTTTAGGTGCTATCTCGTAATTAGTAATATCACAAATGAATCATTTAACACTCATTAACCCTCGGCGCGCATGCGCAGCAAGGGTTACGGTACATGGTCCATTTGTGTGTCTGTCTGTCTGTTACCACGTTTTCTGACACCACGTGTAACGAGACTACATAATAGCGATACCAAAAGGTTCAGCGCTACACTGGTATGATTTGGGGAATTTCGTTAAAGTACTGTGTTTGAGAATGTGAAAACTGAGTGATAAACTGCAATAAGCTTACCTCGATCAGATCCGCTTGCTCTGCCTCTATGCCTACCTCTGCGACAATCATTGTTGCAACTGCTGCTCTGGTAGGCGCTAAAGATGACATATACGAATGTGCTGTGAAGAGAAAACGGCAATATGGCAACCTTTCTGGGGATGGACTGTTACCAGACGGTTTTTCCTCTCCTGTAAGAGAGCGCAAGCTCCTAACCGGTCAGCATTTCAGATAGCCTTTATGTCACATGAATCCAGCCATCTGATTGGGTTAACCGTTTTCTGAACAGGCTGACTCAGTACAACCAACGTTTTTCGTGTGGGGGCATGTGAGGGTTTGCATGGCACGAGACAAATTCAGACAGATCACAGTGCGCATGCACATTCAAGGGGTAACCATGAGAGGACCAGATGCCTGGCTTCTCAGAGAGTTGAACAAATGTAAGGTGATGGTTGATTGGTGGGAATTGAGGAGTTGGTTGAGAAAGCTGAGTTTCCATATTTAATACCACATGGTAGGCCGATGAAGTGAGAGGGCATAAATTGGCATAGTGCTGATAGAGACAGCATCAGTGACAGTGTCGAGGAGAGGGTCCATCACAAGCAATAACAGCATAGGAGACAGAACGGTTAACCGACATTAAGAGCCTTGTTTGACACCTCGTTGGCATTTGATCACGCGAGAGATCTGACTCCCCACTCCCACAGTCGGGTCAGAGTAGAAACTCTAGATCTGTAAAAGTGGCGGAAAAGGACGTAGTGTTGAACTGGATCAAAAAGCCTTGTTGAGATCGCTCGCTCACCGTTTTGTGTACGCTACCGAAGCCCGAATGGAAAAACGTGTTTACCCTAGTGCAAAAACGTGTCTGCCCTGACGTCACTTACATGTGAAGATTCTCCCTCCGCCTTTCTGGGGGTTCAAAGGTCATATGTTAAAATTTGTTCACGGCGAGCGAGTGCCTGGGAACGAGGTTAACTCTTAATAACCGCCAGCATGAATTCAAAATTACGTTACACGTGTGCGAATTGCGCGTGTGCTGTACGTATATACGCTTACGTATATACGCCTCTACAGCAGATCTCGCAGGAGGTGACCTCTCACTTCAGAAACAGCCGAGCAGCACAAAACAGCTTGCAGGGGGCAGCGTCTAGCGACTGACCACTGGAAAACATGCCCTTCTTGTCCTTCTTGTCAGCATTTCGCGCACAAGAGGCGAGTCTCCGAGAACCGCTATGCGACAAACTCTCGGTGCATGCTCACCAATGGCTGTATCACTAAGTACGGTAGTACTTAGTAAATTAAAAATTCTGCGAATAGGGATGGTATAAAAGGAAAGGGAGACGAGATAGTGATGGGATACATGAAGCATTGTTAATGAACAGATTTGAGCACGCTGACACCCCCAATCCCATCGCACAATCCCTGTATTGTTGCCTGGTGTGCCACTCGTAATCTCCATTTGTACTCTTGGTTACTCAGTAGCATGACTTTTTTGTATTCTCAAGCTGTAAGTCCTGACTATTATGTAATGTTGAATGTTTAATACTTTACCTAGGCAACAATATAGGGATTGTGTGATGGGGTTGGGGCTGTCAGTGTGCTCAAATCTGTTCATTAACCATGCTTCATGTATCCCATCCCTATCTTGTCTCCCTTTCTTTTACCATCCCTATATGCCTCTTTATAAAATTCGCAGGATTTTTAATTTACTTGTAATATCTGCAGTTGGATCGCTTCCGCTCGCCAACAGTGCTTAGCATTCATCTAGTATGATATTCTCTAGTACGCTTGAGTTTGGGTGGCCGAGTCTGCGTTTTTTGACCGTGCGAGTTTCTGATTTGGGTAATAGAATTTGACTTTGTCTTCCGTAGAATTTGAAAAGACAAGTGAAAAGATAGATCAGTTGCAGAAAGAGTATATTGACATTTCATTTTGTGCTGCTGAGGAATTGAGTGCCAATGTTGCAGTTAAAAAGTTGCGTTTATTCCCTCCTCTCTCTTCCACCAAATCTTAAGAAATTGCACAAAAAATTCCTTGGGGAAGCAAAAGCTGAAATCAAAGAAGCTGAATCAACCGATGAAGTAATGTATATTATTGGGGAGCACCATCACTACCTCCACTATTCCCTGTTGAAGTATGTCATAGATCTCTATGGAAGTGCTATCTGAAAGAAAAAATAGCAGATTATGCAAAGCAGATAGGAAATTTTAGAAAAGAAACAAGGCTCGAAGTGTTTTCACAAGTTTGTGATGATGAGCCAGAAGTAATCAACAGTAAGTTTCACCACGATGGTTAGTAAGCACCAAATGGACTGGAGAACCGCTACACTGGAAGATGTTGAGAAGTTTCGCATTCAAGTCTGCCGGGAGCTGTCCTTGTATGAGTTCTCCCTCAACCTCGTGAAAGTGGCTAAAGGGTGTGTGGAGGTGACATGGCGGGTTCCTCGTTCTCTGGTGACCTACATCCAGAACTCTGTCAAGCCCAGCAGTCAGAGCATGATGGAGCATCACGTCGCCACTCTCACCATTGACGGATTCATCGTCTACGACTCCTCTTTTGGTATTGGGTCTTATAATGCAACTACCATATTTATTATTATTTATTCCTCAGCCATGCATAATGAGCACAAGGTGATTCGACTACAACTTCAAGCTATAGCGTCACACATTAGCCCTCCTGCTGGAGGAAATGTCCCCAAATGCAGATGAAGTTGTGCCATACCTGCTGCATCGAAGGCTACTCACTCAAATACAGGCAGCAGAAGTTCGGGAGGAGACCAGTCCAGTAGAGAAAGGGCGGTTTATAGTTCAAGCAATTATGGATTATGACCGTAATTTGGCTGGAAGACTCCCTACTTTGTGTGAAGCCTTGAACTGTGCTGGGCAGCGGCATATTGCAGGAAAACTTCTTAACAGTAAGTATCTCCTTTTGAGAATAATTGTACTATTGCTTAATCTTTTCTACAGAGTTCCAGAGTCTCCTGAAGGGTGAGGCAGTCTCCCACCAACAAGAGGAAGATGAAGTCATGATCTCTGGAGATTCGAGTACCCAGCCCTCTCCTCCTCCAGATAGCCACCTCGTCACTGCTCAATTGGAGGGTTCCCTCACAAGAGCACAGTACAACACCATACACAGCCTCACCAGCTCCCTACTCCGTATCCCCACTGGTTATCTGGTGTATGATGGCCACACCCTAAATCCACTCACCCTTCACTGGCACTCTCCTTTATCTAACAAATTGAAGAACGATTTCTTTTTATTGCTGAAATGGCCCAGGGAGGAATTGACAAAAATCCACGTGGAAGAGATGGAGAGAATATTCCTCAATTAAATGTAAAATAAATTTTATTCTACATCTGACTGTATGATGATGTTCTGTCATTAATAAATTTTCAGGAAATTTCTCTTTTCCATGCTGCTTGGGATGGAGACCTTGAGAGGCTAAATGGTGCTCTGCAAAAAGGGATTCCAGTAGACTTTGTGTCACCTGTAAGATATTTAGCTCTCATACTTATTACAATATATATAGTCGTAGTAGGCACACGCATCTGGCAATGGTGGTTTATGTTTCGTGGGAATGCTGTGAATGTCATCAGGTATTCCCATGTGTCATCTCAGAATAGGTGGAGTTCACTGATGTATGCATCGTTAATTTGGCATTTTTAGGATTGTGTACCTTCACTCATCCTGAGAGACAATACCAGATGACACTATACTGTGGCCTAGCAGAAACATAAGATGTTAACTCTTTGGAGTCCACATACGGGCGCAATTGACTACGTAATCCGAATATAGGTAACGTTTTAGCCTACCTTCAGGAGAGTGGAGTGACTAGCTAAGGCCGCTCTTTTTTCTCTTTTTCGCGCATTATTTTTTCTTTTTTTGCGTTCCGTTTTCCGTGTGCGTTTTAGTGACGTAAAAGGCCACTCGAATGGCTTTGGGCCCAAAGATTTAATACACACATTTTCTGAACCAGCAAGCCAACTAAGAGCAGAAAGTACATTTTCACTCTGCCATGTGTTAAAATGGGGACCAATATCTCGTGTGCATGTAGATTGGCTCTGCCTATTTTTCTGTTCATGTGCTCTATGGCCTCTAACTAATGTGCGTGTTGAGGTGGTTTATTGTTTAGTGGGCATGTCTTGTGAATGTCATCAGGTATTCCCATGGTGTCATCTCAGGCTTTTTCCTGTCCTTGCTATCGAACCTTTAAATACACAATACAGTCCTGGATCACGTCCCTTAACACGCTACCAGTTGTTTCTTGTGACATAGTTTAGCCTGTGAAACTTGTGCATGAACATGTCATCGTATTGTCCTATGTCATCTCAGGATGGAGGGAGTTCACTGGTGTATGCATCTAAGAATGGACATGTTGAGGTGGTGGACAAGTTATTACAACATGGAGCCACAGTAGACATGCATGATGAGGTAAGAAGTCCATAATGCTGCTCGTGGAATGGGAGAAAGAGCTTTTTCTGTCCTTACTATCGAACATTTTATACACAATACAGTCCTGGATCACTCCTTAACACGCTACCAGTTGTTTCTTGTGACATAGTTTAGCCTGTCAAACTTGTGCATGAACATGTCATCGTATTGTCGTATGTCATCTCAGGGTGGGTGGAGTTCACTGGTGGCTGCATCTCTGGGGGGACATGTGGAGGTGGTGGACAAGTTGTTAGAACATGGAGCCACAGTAGACCTTCAGAGTAAAGTAAGAAGTCCATAATGCTGCTCGTGAATGGGAGAAAGAGCTTTTTCTGTCCTTACTATCGAACCTTTTGTATTTAATACCCAGTACAGTCCTGGATCGCTCCTTAACACACTGCCAGTTGTGTCTTGTGACATAGTTTAGCCTGTGAAACTTGTGCATGAACATGTCATCGTATTGTCCTATGTTATCTCAGGATGGAGCGAGTTCACTGATGGTTGCATCTCTGAATGGACATGTGGAGGCGGTGGACAAGTTATTACAACATGGAGCCACAGTAGACCTTCAGAGTAAGGTATATAAGAAGTCCATAATGGGGAGAAAGAGTTTTTTCTGTGCTGACTATCGAACCTTTTGTATTTAATACACAATACAGTCCTGGATCACTCCTTAACACACTACCAGTTGTTTCTTGTGACATAGTTTAGCCTGTGAAACTTGTGCATGAACATGTCATCGTATTGTCCTATGTCATCTCAGGATGGAGTGAGTTCACTGATGGCTGCATCTCTACAGGGACATGTGGAGGTGGTGGACAAGTTATTACAACATGGAGCCACAATTGACCTGCATGATGAGGTAAGAAGTCCATAATGCTGCTCGTGAATGGGACAAAGAGCTTTTTCTGTCCTTACTATCGAACCTTTTGTATTTAATACCCAGTACAGTCCTGGATCACTCCTTAACACACTACCAGTTGTGTCTTGTGACATAGTTTAGCCTGTGAAACTTGTGCATGAACATGTCATCGTATTGTCGTATGTTATCTCAGGATGGAGCGAGTTCACTGATGATTGCATCTCTGAATGGACATGTGGAGGCGGTGGACAAGTTATTACAACATGGAGCCACAGTAGACCTTCAGAGTAAGGTATATAAGAAGTCCATAATGGAGAGAAAGAGTCTTTTCTGTGCTGACTATCGAACCTTTTGTATTTAATATACAATACAGTCCTGGATCACTCCTTAACACGCTACCAGTTGTGTCTTGTGACATAGTTTAGCCTGTGAAACTTGTGCATGAACATGTCATCGTATTGTCCTATGTCATCTCAGGATGGAGTGAGTTCACTGATGGCTGCATCTCTGCAGGGACATGTGGAGGTGGTGGACAAGTTATTACAACATGGAGCCACAGTAGACCTGCAGGATAAGGTAAAGAATGTAAGCATCTAAGCACTGTCACGGGTTGCTTTCTTCTCTGGGTTACCTCAAATCCGTGTTTCTCAATCCCAATCTCATGGCTGGTTTATAGACTGAAGGAGCGATGAAGAGTGCGTAGTCAGAAAGAGAGGAAGAAAGGTAGAAAAGAAAGGAAGAAAGAATTGGCCTCTAACGAGAGAGTGAGACAAAGTATGTTCACATTTTTGGGTATTTTAGGTCATCCTGTAATTGATAGTTTGAGATAACCGTTAACAGATGGCACTTTTGCTTCTATCACCACTTCCTCATGTGTGTAGAATGTTGTTCTATATATGGGCGTGATCGATGTATATTATATAAAAACACACTAGCAATAGCTCACTGGCCAATTTAGAGATATATAGCTCTACACACGTCCAAAAGTCTGGGTGCGTCGTTTGTGATATTTATACTGGCGCATCGGTACATATGCACATGTGTCCTGCACAGAGTTGTTGGGGTTTGACGTTGCATTATGTTTCGTTGCATTTGTATAGCTAGCAATCCTGGTAGCTCAGTAGAAGGAACACTAAGCTGAAGGGATGGAAAAATTAAAAATAATGGACTTGCCTTGCTCACTCACAACACATAGTGACATTAAAACTGCAGGATGATGATACAGCATTGACATTTGCCTGTGGAGGAAATGATTTTTCTGCCGTTTCTATCCTTCTGAAAGCTGGTGCCCATCCAAATGTCTGCAATAAGGTAACCATAAAAAGCCAATTTGTGTATTTCCATCAGTATTTTCGCTGACTTAGCACATACACTGACTGTGTAATAGTAACTCTGTGCCTAATATGACCGATGCTTTCTTTTCAGGGTTAAATTAGCTATTAAAATCGGAATGTGCATGCCCATAGTGTAAAAGCAAGTGATAGTGAGTATGTATCTAGGCTCCACTGGTAGGTGTGTTAGACAGCATGTGTCATTTTCCTGTCACACATACACCACAGTCTGGTTATCAGGACTGTCTGTGGTGCACACTAGTAGTTACTCATTACAGTGAGTGTCTGTATAATTAGAGACCGTCTGAAAAACGCACGCTAGCAGCGCAGTCCAGACAGTCTTTTTTCAAAGATATGTATGATGGCTACATCTTCAAACTGGCAAGGCTTGCTCGTGTAGGTTTTCCTCCACACAAGGCCTATATGAGTGTGCTCCCATGTACAGCTAATGACTCATTAACCCTTGGCGCGCGCATGTGCAGCGAGGGTTACAGTAGTCGTTCCGTCTGTTCGTCTGTCCGTCTGTTACCACGATTTCTGCCACCACGCGCAACAACGAGGTAAAATAGCGACACCAGCGGGCTCAGAGCTACACTGGCTTTATTTAAAATAGGCGATTTTCGTAAAAGTGCCGCGTTCAGAAGTTATGGCGTGAAAACCAAGTGAACAGCCCAATATGCTAATTAGCACTGGCTTACCTCGACCGATCCGCTTGCTCTGTGTACCTCGGAGGCACAAGAAGCCAGAACGAAGGGCGTGTATCGACTCATCTACTACTTTGTATGATGACTGAGAGTAAGATCAAAGGAATTCCAGCTAGTCCAAACGACGTATATAGTTGCGTAGTAGTGGGCGCTTCCTGACGGGTAGTTATAACATAAAGAGGCCATACAATTTCCCCATGCTTTAGCTGTATGTAAACTTATTTGCATAAACCACAGTGGGTCTACAGGAGTTAGGCGATGGTAGGAAATTGACAGCGTGGAATGCAATTGGGGGCTTTTACACTCTTTGTGTGCTGCTGTTTCTTTACCAGAAGGGAGTGTTTTCAGGCTAGAATGTACGGTGGCTTACAAGTACCATCCTTCCAATTTCCATTTCGTGTTTCCATTTTCCAAATTCACCTCCCATTTTCCATTTTGTACCTCCACTTTCTGTTCGTCATCACGCGCTGCGCATTGTCGGATGATGCTAGGCCCCTCATCAAATAATCGTGGATAATGGACGCACACTGAAAAAGACATGCGCCGAGCCTTAGGGTTGCCGATGCGGCTGGGAATACTGCCGGCCTGATTGCGCCGCTAACGTCCCTCGTCGACATTTTACCGGTCCGTGGGATCTCCAGGTGGGTGTGGCGACTAGCGACTGTGGACTAAGCGTGCAGCAGACCTTTACGCGGAGGTCTGGGTAGCGAGACCAGTGTAGCTAGGTCACGTCCAGAGCGGTGCCGTCGGACATCCGACGTGCTGCATGCAATTATGAAGCCGAGAAAGGACGGCAGTCCGCGCCGCTCTGGTCAAGCTATCGAGATGGCCGGGAAAACGAGAACGGAAGCGTGAAATGGAAGCGCAAAATGGAAAAAGGAAATAGAATTTGGAAATTGGAAGAACAAAATGAGGTGAATTTGGAAAATGGAAAGATAAAATGGAAATTGGAAGGATGGCACTTGTCGGCCACCGTAACAATGGTCACAAACTGCTCTAGTAGTATATACGCGGTCTAACTAGCGAAAGCTGCTTCCCGACGCTTAGGCTCCCGTGGACTGGAACAGTATTCGGTGACTTTCAGCTTTCATGGTACCGCAACAGGCTGCATTCGAGAGTGGGTATAGCCGGAGAGAAAGCGAGCCAGAGCGGCAGCTACAAAACTCGCATGGAGTCTAGCAGCGAAAAGTATAGCTTTGACGTACCTGTAACGTTGAACTCTCGAGAAATGACCATGGCTTCTGCACAACCGCCCAGCTTGACTAAACTAAAGCGCTTATTGCAGCTGCCTCTCTCCCGGTCGATTGCTTTTTTTTAAAAAGGGGGGTTTTGAAAGCTTTTGCGTAACTCATTGGTCAGAGCCTTACCGCCGGATGTCATCATACAAACACCTTGTTGTCTACTGGTTGCACACTCGTGGCTTCAGTTTTGATAGACCACTTGGGCTACGCCCTCGTGCCCTATCAAAACTGGCCACTCGTGTACAACCAGTAGACCACGCACCGCCATTATACGCGTACCTATATGTGTGCTACCATTAGAGAGTTTGAGAAGTGAAGAAGTACTTTAAAGGAAAGTGCCCGAGGCTATTTGTTGTTGTTTATTGTTTACAAACATGTTTTGTTATGATTTTGATTAAATACATTATGCCCACAAAGTTTCATTCACATAGCTCGTACAATTTGTGAGTTATACTGACACATGTGATCCATTATGTATTCCCTGGGGCTATTTGTTGTTGTTTACAGTGAACAACTTTGCTTACAAACAAAAGAAGTATGACAAGTCTCTTCAGGTGAAGGATATCTGCATTTTTACAAAGTGTTGTTCTGTTATGGGTGGAATCTGAAGAAGAAGATGATGATCAAAAATCCCTATCATAGCCCCATACATCTATGATGCATGACCATCCCAATATTAAGTACTACTGTACTTTTTTTTATTTCGAAGAAATTTTTTATAAACTTGTTTTCTTTCCTTTTACTGCATTCTGGCATACGTAATTCCCAAACAAATGTAACATTAGTGGCCTTAGCTGTTTTGTTATCCCAGGGCAGGTATAGGTCTTCTTTTTTCAAGAGCTGTCCTGGCAGGCTGCTCGGCTATTGTTCTGCCTTGCCTATCTACGTCGTCACCTCGTTGACACATGCTTTTTTCACCACATTAAATCAGTGTAGCTACCAACACCTTTTTTTGCCTGAGGTGTTGTTTACAAACTTGTAATTTCTGTTTATGAACTCTTAACATCAATGTACTAAGTTTCTGTGTTAGAGGACCCAGCATATGAAATTGCTCGATTCAAATGAGCTATGCACTAAAGATACCTTACCACGTCCTCTGTTCACCTGTTGTTCCTGCTTCCTTGAGTACCTGTCAGCACTGCTCGTGTCTTGGTACATGCAAGTTGTTTTACTGTGGTACTGAGTGAGTGTATGTGCTCCTAAGGACACCTAGTACCTTATTAATCAGTTATAGCCTGGTTCCAGGTGTTTCCTTTGATTTTTTGGAGCGTTTATTCAAGCTAGATCCACCCCAGACTATATAGACACAGTGCGTGTATATCTGATATGTGCAGCCAATTATAGCATTGTTCAGCAAAACACCCCATTATCGCGATCTGGTGGTATACACGGCTATTACATGCACGAGGGTTGAGGGCGTGTATACCAGCCAGATCCCTCAATGGGGCGTTTTAACTAATACATGTATAGGCGTAGCTATAGGAGTCACAAATCATGGTATGACAGCAATAATCATTTTTCACAGAAGACAAATATATGTGTGCATGGGTAGTTCAGCATCACTCTGGCGGACAAAATATAATGTGCACATAATATGCTTTGTATGGCCTGACAGGTGCCATTTCATTACCTGCAGGCTGGTCAGACCCCACTATTGCTGGCAGTATGGAAGAACAATATGGCAATTGTCAGGGAGTTAGTGAATGCAAGAGTGGACGTAGACCACATGTACCAGGTTTGCCACACAGAGCTTGCCTTCAGCTCTACTTTCATGATCATGTACATACCCAGAATGGACTTTCTTCTCTGATGCTGTGTTGTGAAAATGGGAACTCTGAGATGGCAAACCTACTACTTGAAGCTCAAGCTGATGCTGACCTTCAGCAATCAGTTGGGTTTTGATCTGTCATTGTATGTGTTTAATTCAGAAGGGAGGGGAGCGCATATTGAAGTCCGTTCGCGTTCACCTTGCCAGTGGGAAATCCGCTCTAACTCCGCTATACTACGGCTGGATTCCGTAGTTTCAACGTGCAATGTGTTTCCGGCAGCGCTAATAATGTGACGTTTAGCATTCAATGCACGCTTGCCAGAGTATATAGCCTCGATCCTCAATACGCGTGACCTTTTAAAACATGCGCGAAGTTAAGGACGCATAAGCTATACACAGAATTTGTATTACTCGTGACGCATAATTATAGACGTTCTCCCTAGCTCCCTTTGTACATGGTTCAAAGGTCACACGTGCATAATATTTGCGAGGAGGAGGGAGAAGGCCTGGGATGCCAGAGGAGGTTGGACACGCGTCATAGATTACGTAACGAGTTGCTAAGTCAGCCATCTCTCGTAGAGAATGTATGGCGGATACAAAAGCCTTACTGAATTGAAGCCAAGCAAGGATCGAACAAGTTTTGGAGTTGAATAGGTGTATCTTTAGAAGCATTCACGGGAACACTGATGAACCCCTGTGAACCCCTATGGTCCTAGCGAGTTACCGTGAGAAATGCTAGAAGCTTCGTGGCACTCGATAATTGCAACTCAGCATAAGATACAGACTACTCTACCTCTTTTCCATCCTTTCTTCAAGTGCACCCGTCAACTTTTGCACTACAGAACTATAGGCCATAAACTGAAGGGTCGACACTAAACGCCCGGTTTGCTGTACATTCTACATATAGTAATTGGAATTCTTCTCAATTCATGTGACCGTGTCCAACCTCTCACAAAGTTATCTGTGTATAAGGAAAGTATGGGTGTTCCGCTCGCCACAAAGTGTGCAATTATTGATACAGCCGCCAGGATACGCGCCTACTAACTTTGACAGACGGCACGCTATGAGCGGGTTCTACTAGGGCTGCTACTTACTGGTGCGTTTTATGCACCTATAGGCTTTGCTTTGACGAAGCCAACTTGCGCTGATATGCTGGGAGCGCTGTCCCTGCAAATGATGTTGCTAGAGCCTAAGTGCGCTTTCATATACCACAAATATGTGCATTATGTCAATTATGACGTGTACTTGCGTAAACAGTTTTTGACTGCTCACAGCAAGGTGAACACAAACAGACTTTAGTTATACCATGCTTAACTCAAGAAGGACTATCCCTTTGTGTAGCCTAAACTACGTTCGCGCTAAGAATGCATGCGGAAGTAGATAATAGTACTATTCTCGCTGTATGTAAAGTATGCATACAAATGTATGGAATTATGCATAAAGTGCGTAGCGAAAAAACTACGCAGCGGATTTGAACGAGGTAAGCGCTGAACGATCCGGAGTGTGAAGCACTACATTTTGATACCAAGCCGTATACAGTGCTGGAATAGGAAGTTATTCTAGAATTTCAAGGTGCATTCTCAGCGCCAACGTACTTTAGTAGAGTGTTAAACTTAAGGGGCTCTCTCTATAATATTCTCTCCATTCTGTTGAGATGATGTAGCTAGAGGATGTCAATAGGCCTCAATTCGAATCTGATCGATCAAGACTCCTCTGAATCTGCTATCCATTGACACATGTACTTATGTGTGCAAGACATCTCCTTCGGAACATATCGCTTGAATAAACATGTACACACAGCCTGGTTTGTATCCAGCATAGTAAGTGGTTTTAATCACAGGGTGGTCCTATTATGTGGAGAAATTGTGTAGACCTGCCAATTTTGCACCGTACTGACATGGTTTATAAGAAAATGGTGAACCATACTCACCACACATACGTACATAATGTGTAAAATCACTAAGAAAAACTTTTGCAACATATTATTTCTTGGGAAATTTCATGCAGGGTACTGGATACATAGCTCTGATGTTTGCCTGCAAGGGAGGTCATCTGGATACAGTTATAGGTCTCATGGAACACGGAGCAAATTCAGCGATTAAAAATCAAGTTAGTTAATCAGTAAAAAGGGAGTTTTTTGATTATTTATAATAGGAAGGTATGACAGCATTGGATGTGGCATCAGTGAATGGTTTTCAACATCTCTGTGCTGTTATTAATCTAATGGGACCACCACCTACTGTCATGCAGGATGAGATCATTGAGGTAAGTAAAGGGGTTAACTGCTGGAAGATAATATAGGTGCTGGTATGCTTTAGTCATGAGTATGTAATCAAGTCTCTTACCCACCCACTAAAAGAACGTCCTGCGGTCACACTAATTTAGTTTTAAGTAAGCCAATCCTACGTTTCACACAACAAGTCAGGCCAAAAAGAACCCAATAACTACTCTAATGTTTGCTAACATTCACAGTCACCTCCAAACTGTTTTGCATTGTGTCCTCCATAACGGGTCAACTTCTGGATAAATGGGTCAGCCGAATCAAATCGACCATTCTAACAGCATTTCCCATCTAAGTGGAAGGAACTCTCCAAGACGTTTAATGCGAGCGTCTTTGAGATTTAATGGGTTCGGGAGTGCCATATATACCAACATTCTTATATTTGGAACATCTTGCCAGGTGCAACTATGTTTCTGCACAAGAACTAAGGTGTAGACTTGCACTGAATACCAGCCACTTATACTAACCAGGGCTGTATATATATACCTTTTGTGTTTATTCAAGCGATATCTTTCTTCTTAGTGTCTCCTACTTTTTTATTGTACATTACGACTCTCGGATCGGGAAGTTGTTAAGACTTTAAAGAAACACATAAATTATGACGTGAAAACTGTACAAAAGTCCATCCAGACATAGAAAACTAAGTTGAAATTTCATTGTGTAACAAGGGAAAATAGCTACAATTGGTCACCTCTCCAAAACTGTTTTGTGAAGTGTGTCCATGTGTGCACACTAATAGGGCTTTGGATTACTTTTGTTTGAAATACTTTTGGCAAGCGGAGCAAGCACCTTGCCAGTCCTGAACGTTGATGGGCCGTGTGTGAGCAACTCAATCATGTAGACCCTGCCACACAGTGTTGCATAAAAAGCCAATCAGATGGCGGAGCCCGAGGATGGTATTGAAAAACGGCTTAGGGTATATTCAGTACCACTTCAGCGCCCGTAGGTTAACAGTTTTGTAGCCCAGGAACACCGCTACGCCGTGGTAGGAAGTTCTAGTGAAGGTCATGTTGGCCATTGCACACGATGCGGACCGTACTACAGGGCCAGCTCCCAGGACCGACGCTCGGCCTAAGCGATACCCTGGTGGTGGTTTAGGACTACTTCATGGTGTGTAGAATGGTAGATCCGCCACACACAACGTCGTTTTTTTTGCTTCTTTCACCGTCTCCGTCAGTCGGATACTCATATATACCCTCCGGTGGATATGAATATCCCCCAGGAAGTGGTCGGGTGTGGTCATTCGTACGGAGTATACCCGCGTACGTGGCACTTTGATTTCTATGACTTCTGGCCTACAAAAGTAGTTAATGACCAGGAAGTGTAGCCAATGCATTGGTTTCATTTTTCTACTTTTACAGCATCCTGACACTCCTCTGATGAAAGAAGCAGTTGATGAGGTTATCAAAAGATTTCATGCTCAGATGGATCATGTTCCACTAATATCACTCTACGATAACGACAAACAAGTGGAACTCAGAGTTCCAAAACAACATATCAAACGTCATATTAAACTTTTCAACCTAAACTAGTAGTGAATTATCTGTTATTTTGAAGTATCACTATTTTGTGTTTACTTACTGTTATTATGTAATAATTGGTGTGAGCTATATCAGAGCATCGGTATAATGCCTAAGGATGGCACGGGTCTAATTAATAATTATGCTCATGCATGGCTCTGTGCAAAGTTTTATGTATACATCTTACCTGGTTTTGAGATGCGCTTGTCTAACCTGAACGACAACGACAACAATATTATTTCAGCCATTTTCGTAGGTACATACATAATATTTTGACCATATGGATCAGACTGATACTGGTATCAGTCAGAAGTGTGATCTGTGATACTGATCGAAAGTGAAAGCTGTATCTCACAAATGTATGGGCATGATTCTTGGTAACCTACATGTTATCTCTATTTCACTAAGTACTACTGTATTTCATGGCTTTGCCCAGTTGGACTCGCCTAGGCTTGCCAACTGTAAGTCTAGACTGCATGACCTGCTCTATAATGGCATTTTAGGCACAGCAACAACATTATCTCTACTAAAACACACACCAGTTCAGCAGTTTAAGAGTTGTATTTTCGGGAGCAGTAAATTCAATCTCCACCAGTATTACACTGGGACTCATCAAACTTGCTGTAAAAGAATGATGTTCCAAACGGAGAAGATGTCTCGTACTGAGCTACACTTCCTTCAATGACAGACTCTCTGGGGTCATTAGATCTCTCGGGGCCACCCTGAGAGTCTCCCACATAGTAACAGGGAGCCAGGGTGTGGTCCCAGGTGAGTGCTGCCAGCTCTGCTGGTATACGGCGGTAGTGAGGACTCGTAGAGTTGAATAGGACCACAAAATGTTCACCACCATCAACTATTGCAGTAATTGGAATGTTCCAAAATTGACCTGGGGAGAGGAAATAAAAATGACAATGCTATCCAGGTACAGTGGGTCCCACTTAATAATATCATACCGTTGAATAGAATATCCCGTTTATAATCATACAAACCTGAAATCCAAAACCATTTCCTATGCTTTCCCATACATTTTACTAGAATGCATACGATACGGATAATGTCATATCCCGCTATTATCACAGAAAAATTTAGCAATTTTGGTTTTTGCCCGCATATTGTCATTATTGCGCATGCGTAATTAGGCATTCTACAACCTTGAGCTGGAGTTCGGCAACTCTCCATTCTCCACCTGGCTTCCATTAGCTTATGTAAACAGCTAGGCTAGCCTAGCTTCATTAGCTTAGCTAAACAAACTGCATTGTGCGCTATCTAGTTCACAATATACACAGTATACACACCCAGGCAGTATACGCGCCCGTATTATAGCATAATATTATCATATTTTTTTGGATGCACCGCGGGTATATATGATATTAACCGGGACCCACTGTATCTACTGGCCTTTCACATGCAAGCCAAGTATTGGCCATCTTCTAGAGAGTCTATAGTTAGCTCTTCTCTTGGTGCATCAGGTTGTTTTGTATTACGATTACAGCCTTTGCCTATTATACTAGGGACCTGACTTTGATTCTCAAGCTGGGTGTTGACTAATAAAGTCGAGGTAAGAGAGTTTAAACCCTTAGCCAGCCACGGGCATATATATATATATATATGGCCAGAGCCTCCATAAGTCCATAAAAAAATTATATACGGGTTATAATACTAGGCGTTAACAATTATTATAATTATTACTGCTAATTTAAGGAGACACCCATGGCACCAAAAGGGTTTTTAAGTTCCATAGATAATGATGTACATTTGGATCCCTGAAGGCACCTTTTGCTATAAAACCTCTCATGTAATGTGCTCTGAAAACAGTTGGTCTACACCCTGTAATCATGTGAGTGGTCTGCTTCTTTATGGGAAGTGTTTCAAAATACACATTAGCAAGTGGCATACTTTACACAATGCCACTAAAATACTTACCAAACAATTCTTATGATGTTCCTCTGCAAAAGGACTATATACTCAGAAATTATGCTAATTCTGATTGGTGTCCCAAAGCTATAGGATGTGCACAGAATGCATGGTATTGGGTTTGTGCTCCGTAGATGCCACAGTTCTTGCACCCATCTATTTAATCATAATGAGCATGTTCAGTGTTCTTCACAATGCAGCTCACTGAGTGAGCTATACTGAGTGAACATACGCCTCCTTTTTGCCTGGATGCAAGTGTAGCCACATTTCAAATGGTGTGTTTTGTGTGTGTTACCTAGAAGTCCATGGGAAGTTGGAACCAAGTTGTTGCCTCTGGCGATGCGGAATCGCAGCATGTCTGGTTCACTGTCACAGAAGATCCACATTATCAGAGATTGCGTGGAGTCACAATTGGGGACAGAGACTCGCCAGCGATTGAGGTATTGTCTCACACTGATACCGTTTTGTTGATAGATTGAGGTGACTGTCTCACTATTCAAATTACCTGCACAGTTCTCAAGGCTGATTTGGATCTTGGCACAAGTATTGCGTGTGCTCACTGCGTAAATACCGATTTCACTCATTCTATTGCGTCTTGGATCAGATGGCAGTTCAGTAAAAAGAGCACTAACGGAGGTGCACGTGTCCGAAACGAGGTTGAAATACTTTCCAGCATGTCCATGAATCTCATAGCACATGAACTGATCTTCTGGTACAACCACCGTAAACAGCGGATCTCCAATTACAGTATCATAAAAAGCTTCTGTGGGAACTGCAGAGCAGTGTATAAAGCAATATTATGGCAAATTAAGAAAGTTATAAAGTGTGGTACTTAGTAAGCAGCCTAGCACTGACTCCTATATATCCTTATAGCGATTTCAGTTATCTACTTCTTCAGATGCACTTACAATACCTAGAGTTCCAGCTGTGCTGGCAGTGAGAACGGCACTGGGTGTACTTGTCTGTCCGTCACTGGCTATTGCAATCACTCTGAATGAGTACTCGGTCCCTGGCTGAAGACCCGTCACATTCACTGATGTCCCATTGCCTTCTAGAGTAATGTTCCTCTCAGTCGCTCCACCACTGACCAGGATGACCTGGGATGAAGTCAGGACATCTCCAGGGAAGAGAGACCAAGATACCACTATCCACGACACTCCGGCACTCTCCAACACCAGGTTCTCTGGCAGTCTGTCAACTAGATTTGATTTAACAAAGTGTCCACATCACATTGTGTGTGTATTTCTGGCAAACTTACATGAAAACTGTGTCATTGCTAGTGCAGACAGACTGGGAAAACTCATTTGTCCATCTTCTGCCACAGTTACCACTCTCATCGAGTACATGACGCCAGCATCTAAGTTGGTTATGTTGGACTTGGCTCTCTGGCTATCGACCGTGACATTGTACTCTGTCCCTCCTCCGCTCACCAGCACCAGCTGGATCAACACACCAGCAGATGTGACCACTGGCTCCCAGGAGAGGATGATCCAGGTTGAGCCAATTGCCTCCACCTCCACATTTATCGGAGGAACTAATAATATAGAAGGAGAAAGGCACATTGAATTACTCATTAATGCAGGGCACCTGTAGCCCAGGCAATCGGAAAGAATACCCCTTAATGAGGAAACATTTAGGGTGCCATAAGAAACAACAACAGTACCTGGCTTGTTAAAATCTCTCTACACAATAAACTTACCAGGAGGAACAATTGGTTCAAATTCTTGTTCATCTGTGGCACAATCAGATACACATGGGTTCAAGAGGTAGACAACTTCCCCAGCCTCATCCAGGTAGTCGATAATGTGCAAGAAGAATGGATCTGCATCGTCTGGACTTGGCTGAGCCTCCCCAGCAACCCATGCATTCTCTGGAGGTAGTCGAGTCACCTCTCCACCAACAGCTTTTGTGAAATTGATGCTTCTTTTGGTCTCAGTGAACACCCTGCCAACATCTTCAAACCTGAAGTAGACCCAACCACTGAAGTTGCTGGATGCAAGGACCTCTATACTACCAGAACCTTGAGGAATGATTGATTCGATTGCTCCTTCACTCACATTGTATCTAGTGAAGGTCTTGCTGCTGTATAATGCGTCTGGGAATATCAAACAAGTCAGTAGCATCGTTCACTAGAAAGTCTAAGACACCGTCGTTCTCATCTTCCTGATATATGACCACATTTCTGATGAGATCGTGGATGACAAGTTCGTCCAACACAGAGAGTCTGGGATCACCTAGTGGGTTCATGTACTCAAAACTGGCAGAATAGTTTGTGAACTCCCCCTGAAGGCTGGAGATGAGGAGCCACCGGGCTACCTTTGTCTCCATCGCCTCAATGTCTCCAAAGTTTACTGTCAGTGAGGGACTCACACTTTCACGTCCGATTCTTGTTCCAATAATCTTAAAAGTAACCAAAGAGTCCCTTCTCATTCTCAATGATCTCTGGCTGACCTGATGTTATCCTCAGGTTCATTGCTGTCCCATAACCTCCATTGTGGATGGCCACTCCCAGAGCAAATGGTACTGAGGGCTCTCTTTCGTCAGTGAATGGGTTGTCTCCAATCACAAACTTCTCCCAAAAGTAGTGGATGATGAGTGAAGGGTCTGGGGCTACCGTGATTCTAGTGGGCAGGAGTGGGATTGTGATGTTCTCTCCACTTGAGACGTATGAAAATGACCCTCCAATGTCGTAATTTCTGTTTTCAGTAGGGGCAGCCTCAGACAGGGGGACAATGAGCCATTCAGCAGCTCCTGACTCACTGCTGGCCAGGATCCATCCTCCATCTCCGTCTCTCAGAGCTCCAGTCAGTGTCTCATTCCCTATGACAAAGAGTTGAGTGGACACTGCTCCTGAGTCAACATCGGTAATGAGGAAGGCCATTTGAATTCTCCGTAATTCTGTAGCTTCCATGTTCTCAATCTCTAGTCTAGCCAGAAAAGCATCTCTGGTCAACGCAATTTCTTGCTCTATTCTGATTCTGACAACTGCACAAACCCCTTCATCTTCATCCTCATCTGCCCCTGCAATCATGTTGTATTGCTCTATTACATCATTGTAAGAATCAAGAAACGATTCTTCTTCTCCCAAACCAATTAGTCCATGAGCAGTGTGCACATTTCTGGTGAAGTTTTGAACTGCACTGTACGACACCATATTGGATCCATTTTGAGGCTCAAGTGTTCCATTACCCCACCCAATGAATGTGTTATTAAACCTTTCCAGCAGGGATCCCACCATTTCCCTTGTGGCATTACGAG